TTTTTTGAAAATCTGTCCGCTTTTTGAAGTGATTATATTCTGTTATGAGGCTAATACACCCTTAGGCTAGTACAACCTCCAAGCCGAGTATTCATCAATATCTCGAATGCATGCCATTGCGAATTCTTTCCTATTGCCGCGGACACATATACCACCAGATGTCGGGAAGAGCCCCAGCCACTACTGGCCCAGGATCAAATAAATTTTTCTTAGAAATGGAAATCTTAACATTTTCGTGAAGTCAGGAAAAAAATGCAGGAATATGTAGAAGGTCAAGCAACTGAAGGAAATGTGAGAATGGGGTGGTGATGGAGACGAGTAGAGAGAGAAACAGAGAGGGGGGAGAAGAGGATATATGGTGGGTTTTTTTCTTTTTCTTTTTTAGCGATTAATTAATATTTAATATATAATATAAGTGAATTGACGAATTTATCCCTTTAAATCTCACGTGCAGAGCACGTGTTTAATATTCCGGCTAAAATCGCCTGAAAATTCCACTTTAGAGGCACCGTGCAATAAAATAACGAGTTCAGGTAAAAACGTGCAACTTTTTTTTGTTTGGGGGGCAAAGTGCAAAACGGTCCTTAATTTAGGGGGCAAATTGCTTTTTACTCAATATTATATTATCTTAGTTTTCAGGCACTTTTTTTGAATCATCGAAGTTCCAATAATATAATCGTGTTTAATAAGATTATTTAATTTCACTATGGCTGATCTTATATTTATAACAAAACGAGTTCTTGTTATATATTAATATAATGGTTTGAGCCTCGAAATTTAAATGTATTTATGGCGATTTATTGAATATTGAAGTAAATAAGAAATCATTTTTGGGTTGAAGTAGTGGGTTGGGCCAGCATAAATGGATTAGATCACATTGGACCCACTTGAGTTTGTTATTTGTCTTAACAACTTGGGCAGCCCATTAACAATTATAATCGTAAATTAATTTCCATTCTTTATTTATAATAAAATAAATATTCTTTATAACCCAATATAGGGTTCACAACAAAAAAAAACCCAATCCCCGTCCCACGCGCCGCCGCGTCTCCATTTTTTTTTTTCGTTTTCTCCGTTTTGATACTGAAACCCAAAGTTTTGATTCCTCTGTTTTGAGTACTGGAAATCCCTAATTTTGGTGTGGATATGGCTGCGATGGAATTGGTAGAAGAACCGGCTATGGCAGTGGAAGAGATGGCGGCGGTGGAAGAGATGGCGGCGGCGGAAGAGATGGCGGCGGCGGCGGAGGAGGAGAAAGTGGTGAAGTCATTCAAAGACTTGGGCGTGAACGAACAATTAGTGGAGGCCTGCGAAAATCTGGGCTGGAAAAATCCTTCGAAAATACAGCAGGAAGCAATTCCTCACGCTCTCCAAGGAAAGGACATAATCGGACTCGCCCAAACGGGTTCGGGGAAAACCGGCGCCTTTGCAATTCCAATTCTTCAGTCGCTTCTCGAAACGCCGCAGTCCTTTTTCGCCTGCGTTCTCTCGCCCACGCGCGAGCTGGCAATTCAAATTGCCGAGCAGTTCGAAGCTTTGGGTTCCGGAATTGCTCTAAGATGCGCAGTGGTATATTTGTATTTTATTATAGTTGCTGCTAAAAAAAAAAATTCAGTCTTTTGTGTGTTTTTATTTATTGAATTTTTGTTGCTCCGAATGTTTATTTTGCAGCTCGTCGGAGGGGTGGACCAAGTACAGCAGAGCATTGCGCTTTCGAAGCGGCCGCACATTGTTGTGAGTTTGTGTTTTATTGCATTATTAAGTAGCTTCTTTATGTTTATCTTGAAGAAAACCTAATAGCGAAATCCATCTACTTGTAGTTAGTGATGTAAATATAAGGGCAAATTACAGCCAATCCTCTGAGTTATGGTCAAATTACGAAAACCCCCTCCTGATTGGGTAGTTAAATTTAGCAATGTTAAATCGGTAAAATCGGACCGAAATTTCGATACGCCAATATTTCATGCCAATATTTCATACCGTTTACCGTATTGAATATACAATTTGGTTCGGTAAATTACCGAATTACATAAATTTTATTTAAAAATATTTAAAAGGAGGGGTGGCTCTAATTACCCAAACAAGAGGGGTTTTTTTGTAATTTGGCAGGGGTGGCCGTAATTTACTCTAAATATAATCAACATTTGTAGAGAAGTTGCACTTCAAGTATATCATGTGTTGGATCAGTTAGCATTTTTAAGTTGTGGTCAAAATATACTGCGACTAAGTTTTAGCATTTGCTTATGTGTTGGATACATATTTGACTATTTACAAAACATCAGCTTGGAGAAAATAAAAAAACGATAATAAACTAAAGTTTTTTCGAATGTCTAAATAAACATACTTGTAAAATTTAAATTCGTGTACCAAGACTTCTTTAAAATTGATGTATGATAAAATTCAACTGATATTGGATGGTGGTGTTTTTGTATTATAACAAATCTTAGATGGTGAACCAGTATTTATTGCGACTCTCAAGAAATAATTTTGTTGTTCTGCTATATCTTGTAGGTTGCTACGCCTGGCCGTCTTCTTGATCATCTTACTAATACCAAAGGGTTTTCGTTACGTACATTGAAATTCTTGGTAAGAATTTATTTGATTGCTGATTTGAGTTTAAGCCCTTTGTGCTTCGTCTTATAATACGAGATAACAATGCAGATAAGAATGATATAATATATAGGTAAAACATGAATACACTTCCGTAAACGGGTTTATTTTTTTTTTATTTTTTTTTTGAAGTTTGTGAGTTAATATAAAGTCTAAAGTGGTCTGAAACATTCAAAACTATCTCGGAGTGCTGTTACGAAGCTAGAATAGATAATAACAAATATATTGAGGGTTTTCATTTAATTATATTAAGTAAATAAGCTCCGATGTGTAATAATTCGACAGGTGCTGGATGAAGCAGATAGATTGCTCAACGACGATTTTGAGAAATCACTCGATAACATATTGGAAGCTATTCCTAAAGACAGAAGAACGTATTTATTTTCTGCAACCATGACCAAAAAGGTACATACGAAAGAGTAGTTGTATACTTATACGTTAATTATGTTAATCTTGTCACTACTAGTCTACTATATAATTTGCTGCAAAATAGTGAAGACTATCCACAAACTTTTTATAATGAGCGGTGCCATCAATTATTTCAGGTGAAAAAGTTGCAAAGAGCTTGTCTGAAAAATCCCGTCAAGGTATTGCAAACGCTACTTATTTCCTCGTCACATTTTTAATAAAATTTATCTTTTTACCTTTTTGTCTTATCGTGTCTGGTTTGGCTACAGATTGAAGCTGCTTCCAAATATTCCACCGTCGATACACTGAAGCAACAGTATCGCTTTGTCCCTGCAAAGTACAAGGTTTGTACGTTCCGTACTATTAGTTCTTCTTTGTGATAAATTATTAATTATATTTCTTTCATTTTTTGGTTAATTTTTCCCATTTGTATTTGTTTACTCCAGGATTGTTATCTCGTTTATATTTTGACCGAAATGCCGGGATGTACAGCTATGGTTTTCACTCGTACATGTGACGCAACTACGTTATTGGCACATATTCTTCGGACCCTTAGATTCGAAGCCATTCCAATTAATGGTCATATGACCCAGGTAATATTTTAAATAATTACTGGATTATTCGTGTTTTTCATCTAATTAAAATCCAATTTTAAAATTTTATTTTCTTTTTTTGTAGACAAAAAGGCTTGGAGCCTTGAACTTATTCAAGTCCGGAAAATGTAACATTCTTTTATGCACTGACGTTGCAAGTAGAGGACTCGATATTCCAGCAGTAGATGTGGTTATCAACTACGATATTCCCACAAACTCAAAGGTTGACTTTCTGCTTTGTCGTTTTATTACAGTAAACAACAAATAGTTTAAAAAAAAAAAACTGATTTGTTTTTTTGTGAAATGCTTATAGGACTATATACATAGGGTGGGAAGAACTGCTCGTGCTGGAAGGTCCGGAGTGGCAATATCGCTTGTGAACCAATACGAGCTCGAATGGTACATACAGATAGAGAAGCTTATAGGTAAGAAAAAGCTTTATACTTGGATGGTCGATTGATTGACTTTCGAAATTCTGACATGTTTTGTTCGTACTAGGTAAAAAGTTGCCCGAGTACCCTGCCGACGAGGAGGAGGTTTTATTGCTATTGGAACGTGTTACAGAGGCCAAAAGAATGACTCAAGCGGTACGCGACTTGATTAATTTTTAACTAAGTTTCTTGAAACATATCATTGATATACTTCCGATCTATATATATATATATATATATATATATATACATATTCACACACGCGCGCACACACAAATACGGGGATAGACAGAGTAATTTACGCTCGAGGGAGAGCAATAGTGTTCTCTAGCGATGATGAATTGAAATTATTGGTGCCTCAAAATTGTGACACGTGACATTTTAATTATGCGATCAATAGCTACTAAAATATAACTCGGGTTTCGTCGAATTTGCAGAAAATAAACGAGTCTGGTGAAAAGAAGAGGAGAAAACGAGATGAAGATGATGGTGAGGAAGATCTGAAAAAGTACTTGCGTCCCAATAAAGGGAAATCGTTCAAGGGGAAAAGTTCCGGCGGTAAAGGAAAATCGACCCGGGGGAAAAGACGTTGACGGAAGAATTTTTTTTTCAAATCGGATCATATTTATTTTCAATTTTGTATTATTAGTTTCAATTTGAGTTTTTTTGGGTAGAAAAATGCATATGGTGATATTTGCAGGGAATTTTGTAACTGTTACAAGTCTTACAAATTTGTAGGGTTCCTTTGTTCCGAGGAATTTCAGCTGTCCTAAATGTTATATTATGTTACATAATATTTTAATTGGAACTCTTTGGGATGTGATATTTTAATGTTTTTTTAGTGTTTGTTTAATTTGATGCAACATTTGGTAAATTTCACTATGTATTAATTATTTCAAGTATTTACATAATTAATTATCTATCTACAAAATCATTTATTTAGCAGTTCAAGGCATTTGTACAGTGGTGATGATGAGAATCTATTTTTTTTAGTGCTGGTGGAATTTGACAGCCGAAATTATTAATTGACATCCAAACAGAAACCAATAATTTTTGAATGGACAAAAAGGAAAAAGGAAAAAAAATGTATTATTATTTATGACAAAGGGTGATTTCAATAATAAAATTATGTAAGAAGATAAGTATTAATAATATGATGAAATTCACCATTTCTATAAGGTGGTGATAGAGATGTCGAAAGCTGCGACATTCATTCTGACACGTGTCCCCACCTGCATGCAGCGCACCGTCGCCGCTTTGACACCTTTCTCTTTACACCTTCTCAAATTTGTATATTTATTTATTTATTTTGTCCTTGCTTTTAATACCCACACCACCTATTCAAGTAAAAAATAGATACGGGAAAACAACATGTCCAAAAAATGAGAATACGGGAGCTTAGATGAAATTGCTATATGAACGTATTGAAGTTTTTGTTTGTAAATAAATTCATTTTATATATTTGCAATCCATCAGTAAACCATGTACTATTTAGATAAACATTAAAAATATTTGAAATTTTGCTATGCAAACATATTTTAAAAAAATTGGAAAATGGCAGGTGTCCTCGAGTATCGACACAAAACTATGCAAAACACGAAACATTATGAAATTGAAGTTCCCCTATACATAAATTTTAATATTTGTTAAAATATAATAATGCTTCCAAATAAACTAATTAAAAACTAAACCTATAAGGAAGCAAAACTCAACCAATCTAATATGACTCAATCAAATTTGTGTTTTGTAACCCGATGATCTTGGGATAAATCTAATATTTATAAAATCACACTCATACATTTACATGTACAACTATACATATAAATATTATATATAATATATATATAATTAGTGGTGAAATATGTTCGCCACACATGCAACATAAAACCATGGACCCCGTCACTAAACATGTGCACTAAACAACTTTTTGCCTTATTTCCTCAAAATACTAAACAAATCATTATATCATTCCCTTTTTATTTAATATTATTATAACAGAGATAAGAACCAGAAAACAAAGATAGAAATATATGATACACAAACAAACTCCAAGCAACATATAAATCCCCTTTGTCCTACTGCACCTCCCCACATTTCCATATCCTATTCATTCCACACACACACAGAGAGAGAGAGAGAGAGAGAGAGAGAGAGAGAGAGATGAAAAAATATGGAGCGGGAAATTCGTTGTCTTACTGCGCAAAAGAGAGGAAAGCATGCATCAATTGGGCAGATAAGTATTTCAAAGACTGCCTATGTAACACGAGAGATGAATTATCATTCGGTTTTGGACTAATAAGCCTCGTTTGTTGGGGCGTCGCTGAAATCCCTCAAATCGTCACTAATTTCCGTACTAAATCCGGCCACGGAATTTCCCTCGCCTTCCTCCTCACTTGGATTGCCGGGTTCGTTGCTGACATTAACCAAACCTCTCTCTCTCTCTCTCTCTCTCTCTCTCTCTCTCTCTCCATTATATTATTTAATATTAGTATTTTTTTTTATTGTTTTTGGCAGTGACATATTCAATTTAGTGGGTTGTCTTCTTGAACCTGCAACTGTGAGTCCCTATTCTTACCCTGTTTTCTCGTTAACTTGCTACTGCAAATAAATAAATAAATAATTAATTAAAATTAGGTGACATAAAAATGTGATCTTTATATTTATTTATTTTATTTTATATTTTCTAATTTTTTTATGCATTTGTTTTGTATTATGTTTTTTTTTTTTTTTTGGGTGGTGCAGTTGCCGACTCAGTTATACACAGCTGTGGTAAGATATTCATTCTTTCATTTTTCTCTTGTATAATTAATTGTATTCATGTATGAAGAATTTCATTTATGTGTATGTGTAACAAAAAAAAAATTGGTATTTAATTAATTGAAATTGAATTAATTTTGTTTCCAATTGGAGCAGCTATACACAACCTCCACAGTTGTTCTAGTTATCCAGAGCATATACTACGATTATTTTCGCAACAAATGGCGAAACATCCACCACAAACACTCCAATCAAGAGGTGTATATATATGAATTTATTATTATTTTATCCTACATTAATCGTTGTATATATGATGAATTCAAAATACAATGTCTTAAAAAAAAATCGTATATATAATGTTTTATTAAGGTTGAAGACATGAAAAGGCCTTTAATGAGACCACAAAACCCAATAGATTCTGCAATTGCAATACCAAATGGAGCACAAAGAGCAACATCTACAAGAGAAGCCTACTATTACACGTACATGCGTCGATAATCGATAATCGATCATTTTTTTTATTTTTTTTCGTATTATCCTATGTTTCATAATGCTGTCTTTTTTTTTTTTTTTTTTGTGGTAATAATTATTATATGGCATGGCCACAAACAAAAGTTGTTATTATTGCAGATCAGCAAGATCAATGGCTGGTAGCACAACTCCACCGATGCGGTCTTATCTTTGGCCCGTAAAAAGTGGTCCTTCTGCCATCGGACTCGACAACAATTCTTCTTCTGATGATGAATCTAATCCTATTCCACCTAGGAATAGTATCTCCAGACCTAAACCAATTCCAAAATCGGTGATCTTTTTTTTTTTTTTTTGTAATTTAGTGCAGCTAAATGTTAATATACTAGGATAAGTTCTGAATTTAATTATAAAAAAAAGTTGGAGTTTTGTGGACACTTGTTCGTAATGTGTATTGTTTGTCGATTAGTCGTTCTACTTTTTGCAGTGGATTAAACTTTGTTTGTTATGTCACAAAGTTAGTAACTTTGATTAGGGCTTAACAAGAATTAGTAATATCGAATTAATTAATCTTAATCTTTACTAATTACTTGCTCGTTTCTACGTTTCGGTTCGATTCTCAGGTAGGTTATGGAGCGTTTTTAGCTACATCGATGAATATGCCTCGAGAAAGCAGGGCTTTGGTTCAAGTGTACGTTGGATTAACTGGGAGGAAATTATTGCAAGTAAGATGAATGTATTTATATATTAAACAAATAAACGAACTATTTTTTTTTTTTCATTTGTTTTAATATTATTACGACATGTTTGAATTTAAGGAACATGGATCGGAAAGTGTTTACGGTCAGTGGTTGGGTTGGATGATGGCTGCTATTTACATGGGTGGAAGATTACCTCAAATATGGTTAAATGTAATTAACTACTCTAATTATTTTGTTTTTACACATTAAACTTTTTTTATTTATCTGGTTGATGTCTTAATTTTTTATTTTTTTTCGATGACCAGATTAAAAGAGGCGGCGTCGAGGTAATTTAATTATCAATGTCAGTAAAACTATAAGATTGTTTAATTTAACTTAAGTTGACATTTGAAATATGAATTGTGCACAGGGATTGAATCCTCTCATGTTTATATTTGCACTACTTGCTAATGCTACTTACGTCGCCAGGTACATTTTCTCGTCTGAAAAAAAAAAGTTCATCTGATTTATTTATTTTCAAACTTTCTTTTAAATAAATGATTTGTCGAATTGATGCAGCATTCTTGTGAGATCAACTGCCTGGAATAAAATTAAAGCCAATATGCCGTGGCTGCTGGACGCTGTCGTCTGCGTATTGCTCGACTTATTCGTATCCTTTTCTTTTTTAATAATTTAATTTGGGTTTAAGTTATAATTTAATCTATGACAAAAAAAAAAAAAATTGAACAACCTTAATTAGTGACAACAGATAATACTACAGTATGTGTACTACAGATACCCTCGGAAGGAAAATTGCAGCAGCCTGAAAGAACATGAAGAAAAAAAATGAAACCATATATTTAAATATGGTCTCTTTTGTAATTTAATGAAACCATTGGTCTTTTTTGTAATTTAAATCCCCAGTGAGTGTGTGTACTTTTTGAGTATTCGTTGGTAGTCATACATTTTATTTTTCAGTCCAATAAAATATTTAATTCGGTCCAACAAGCTCTGGCCAATCAGAGGCAAAGGGCCCAACTTGGGGCCCATTTACACCTAATATTTTACTTCTTTATATTTTATATTTTATATTTATATTTATAGCTATAAATTAAATTAGCCTAGCCTATAAATAGGCTAATTTGTGGGTAATGGTCGTTAAGGCGGGCCCCACATTGAGATACGTGTGAACGAAGGAAATAGTGTTGTGGTCCCCACTGGATTTACGAGTTGTGCCATTTGCCAACTCAACTCACCGACACTCTTCTTTTTGTTTTCCCTAACATTTTTCTACTTTTCATTTTCATTAATTATAGGGCTTCCAATAATTTAAGGGCATATTACAAATAAGCCCATCAGTGGGAACTTATTCATAAAGAGATCCAGACAATATTCTCCTTTACCAATAAGTCCACACATGGTCCAGATTTATGTAAAGGACTAAAATAACCCCTCATACTTTTATATGCTCCAATTTCATCCTTAACTTAATTTAACTTCAATTTGACCCCAAATTTCACAATTATTCAATTTTGACCCAAAACTTTTTTTTTTTCCAAAAAATTTCTTTGTGTTTCAAAAACTTTTTTTTTTCTGCCCGGATTCCGACGTTGACTTTTTTTTTTTTTTTTTTTTTTTTTTTTTTTTTTTCTTCCGGATTTTTTTTTTCCGGATTCCGGCGTTGACCGGCGGTCAACGCCGGTCTCCGGCGTTGACTTTTATTTTTTTATTTTTTTTTATTTTTTTATTTTTTTTTTCTTCCGGATTTTTTTTCCGGATTCCGGCGTTGACCGGCGGTAAACACCGGTCTCCGGCGTTGACTTTTTTTTATTTTTTTTATTTTATTTTTTTTTTAATTTTTTTTTCTGTAACTTTTTTTTCCGTTTAAACAACAATATTGCTTTGAATGACAGTAATATTAACTATATTACTGTTAAACACAGTAAAAATAACTAAACTATAGTTTAACACAGTGATATTGCTATATTAATCTCTAGCACATTAATATTAACACAACAAAATTCATTATTATTGTATAATAAAGTAATATTACTATGTTGTCCGTTCAACAAATTAAAACAAAATAAAAAAAAACAAAAGAATTAATATTACTGTGAGTGACAGTAATATTACTATAGCAACAGTAATATTACAATAGTAGACAGTAATATTATTACGTTACTCCGTGAATAACTCAAACAAACAAAATATCCAAACAAAAGAATAATATTGATGTGGTTGACAGGAATATTACTATAACAAACAGTAATATTACCGTCAACCACAGTAATATTATTGTGTTTACAGTAATATTACAATAATAGACAGTAATATTAATACAAACACCACAAAAAAATAATAATATTGATGTTGTTGACAGTAATATTATTGTGTTTACAGTTGTTTTACTGTCAACGACAGTAATATAATTACGTTGACTTGTCAACAAATCAAAAAAAAATAAAAAAAAATAATAATAAATAAAAAAATATAATATTGCATTAATTTACTGTCAACGGCAGCACAATTACATAAATGTAATGTCAACGGTAGTACAATTACGTTAATTAACTATCATTGACAGTATAATTACGTTAATTTACTGTCAGTGACGGCACAATTACGGTCAACGTTTAGCGGCGGACGTGGAAAAACAAAACAAACCAAACAAAACAAAAAACTTAAAAAAACACTAAAAAAAGAGACCGCCGGAAACCGGCGAAAAAATCCGGCGGAAAAAAAAATTCGGAAGAAAAAAAAAAAAAAAAAAAAAAATACGGAAGAAAAAAAAAAAAAAAAAAAAAAAGTCAACGCCGGAAACCGGCGAAAAAATCCGGAAGAACGCTGGAAACCGGCGAAAAAATCCGGAAGAAAGAAAAAAAAAAAAAAAAAATTAAAAATTAAAAAAGTCAACGCCGGAATCCGGCGGCAAAAAAAAAGTTTTTGAAAAAAAAAATATTTTTTGAAAAAAAAAAAAATTTGGGTCAAAATTTAATAATTTGTGAAATTTGGGGTCAAATTGAGATTAAATTAAGTTAAGGATGAAATTGGAGCATATTAAATTATACTCCAAAAAAAAGTCAAAATTGAATTTTTGTGGTCAAAATTGAACTTTTATGGACAAAATTGATTAATTTGGATTACAATTAAGAATTGGGTATAAATGGTTGAGGGTAATATTGGGATATACATGAATGTTTCCTTTAGTTATAATAAATATTAAAGGGATGGACTTATTGGTAAAAGAGATATGTCCCTAAACCTAGAATAATAAACATGCTTGGTTGGGGACTTTTGCATAAAAATCCCATAATTTAATTCGTTTTTATTGTATAATAAAACTGCACATGCATATAATATAATATTCTCTCTCTTTTCCATTTTTTTCTTGACACGTAGCTTTCTAAATATTGCACTAAAATTTTCCTTTTTTCTTTTTCTTTTACCATTAATCTTAAACACCAACATAAATGAGTGTATTTATGTATTTTGAATAAATAAAAAAGACTAATTAATGGAAAACGGTAATTAGAAAAAATGAAAAAAAAAAATAGGTACCATGAAAGAGGGGTTGATTTAGCCTTGGGCATGGCCCATGAATAAGATTGGCTAGCGTGAAAAAAGGGATGATTAATTATAATTAGGTCAACATTAAAAAGAAAATGCTGGCAAACATCATGCTTAATTAAAGTAGATCACACAAATCACATTATTCAATTCAATTAATTTGATTTATTTTACACCCATGGTATGAAGTTATCGAACTTGAGTTCGAGCTGAACTTCTTAAGTAAAACGAAAATACGTGTTCAAGTTTTGTTCAATATCGAATCACAAGTATTGAATAGTTTAATTTGATCTTGAGCCTTTATTTTCGCATGCACAAGATTATTATTTTTTGTATTGATAAATAATAAATAACGAATACATACATACATTGATACATACATATTTTGTGCTACTAAATCTACTGGTAATGATTAACTGCAAAAGTACATGAAGTCGACAAATTTAAGGTAGAGACAACAACTGAAGAAAGTAGCTTGTACCAATATATTCATTGTCTATTTTAGTAATTATTATATTATCTTTCTCAGATATACAGATACTGATATGAGGAATAAGATTGTAAAATTTATCTATAACTATTTAATGTACAGACAATTTCTTACTCACCTCTAATCATATATATTCAACCACTAATATCATATATATATATATATATCAAGGTTGTAAAAAGCGGTAATCGGGTCGGAGGCGGTCAGGGACCGACTCACGATTAATCGGTGCGGCGGTGATTAATCGGTGATAAATCGGAAATAAATCGGTTTTTAAAATTTAATATAATATATTTGTAGATATTATTTATAAATACTCAAAACATAGATAAAAAATATTTAAACATAGTTATATCTCCATCATGTATATATTCTAATAACATAATAAAAGTTTAATAATAATAAAATCATAATACATAAATATCCTTATAAAATATAAATAAAAAGGCAATTTTTTTTGAATTTACATACATTCTTGGCATACATCATTAGTTCTTTAACAATTATAATTAACATAAAAAAAATAAAGCATAAACTCATTTTTTTGTTATAAAAATCCCAACTTTTATTTTGATTTATAAAAAAAAAAAAAAAAAACCGATTTTTGACCGATTTTTTGCCAATTTTTGCCACCGAAGTTTGACCCGCCTTAAAGGTTTGACCGCCTCGGACCGCCTCGGACCGCCTCAGACCGTCTCAGACCGCCTCGGACCGCCTCAAACCGCCTCACAGGCAAAAAACCGATTTTTCAAACCTTTACACTAAAATCGTAAAGGTTTTGGACCGCCTCCGCCTCGGCGACCGATTAATCGGCCGCCTCGGCCGATTTTTAGAACACTGATATATATATATATATATATATAGTATTTCTTCACACAAGAGAGTAGGATCTCCACCTTCAGAAAATCTCTTCTCTCTCTTGTGCACGTCTTCTTCATCTAATTTTATAATATTCCTCAAATCCTGAAAAAAAATCAATTTAAATATCTGATTAAAAAAAATAAATAGGATTTATTATATTAAATTAATAAGCATTCAGTTATGTGTTTGAGGGAAAAGAAAAAATAATAAAACTAACAAAAAAAGAAAATAATTTGGGTTGCAAAATTGAATTCATTTATATATAACCTATATAAAATAATAACGCATGAACAGGAAAATTCTATTAATTTGGCGAATTATTAAATTATCGAGTTAATATCACCGAGTCAGGTCGAGAGAAACTATTATTAAATCAAAATTATTAATTTATCGAGTATTATATACCTTAAGATTCAAGAAAAAATGAGGTCCGTAACAAATCATAAGGGGCCCACAAAGCATCGAGCGGGCAGGGCCGGTTCGAGTCGAGCCGGGCCCACGGCTTCCCCTTCCCGCTCCAATGCAACAGGCTCACCGGACCAGGGTGCAAATCACGGCAGAGTCCACGGAAGTTATCGCCGCCGAGTCCGTGCTGGTTCCACCGGTGATCAACCGGAGCTATGTTTCCGGCGAACACGAGCAAGAATGGCGGCAAAGAGCCCAGCTCGTAAATCCTCATCCTCTTCTGAAGCTCCATCCACTCGACAATCTTGGTGGTGTAATCACCGGCCCTCCATCTCTGGAGATCGATCACCATAACTCCGGTGTTGAAGTAGCAGGGTTTTCTGTTGGCGAAGGTTAGAGAGAGAGAAGGGCTGGACCAGAACGTCGGCGTGAAGTAGGTGGTGAAGTTGGCGTTGCAGTACTCCGGCGCCGCCAGCACGGCCCCGTTCGGGAGCGGCGTGGCGGCGAGTTTCGCGATGTCGTCGACGAGGACGAGGTCGGAGTCCAGGTAGACCACCTTCCGGATGCATGCCGGCAGGAGATCGGCGAGGTAGTTGCGGGCGTAGTTGAGTGGGCAGTCCAGCGCCGCCCGTATGGAGGTCGATATCAGGCCGGCGGCGGCGGAGACGTCGAACGGGTACATCCTGAACTGGAGATACGGGAACGACCTCGAAATGGTGCGGCTGAGCACGGCGGTGTCGGCGACTGAGGAGGCGGCGAAGTGGAAGACGATGTTTTCCGGGCAGGAGGAGTGCTGGAGGACGGAGAGAACCGCCGCCAGTGAGCCACGGAGGTAGGCGGCGTCGAGGGTCATCGCTACATGAACTGCTTCTTCGCTGTTGAAACAAATGTTGGATAATGTGTCGGCGGCGGCGGCGGATAGTGGCGGAGCAATGGAAGGGCAATTTGGGGAATTATAAAACTTTGGGGCTTCTCTGAAATGAAGTGAAGACACATTTCTAACTGTAATAATGGAAACCAACACAATCAAGATTATTGTGGAAAAAGCAACACCTGGTGGCATAGCTTTGGCTCAAATTAAAGATAAATTGCACCAATTTTTTCATAAAAATTAAAATTTGAAAAAAAAAAGAGAAGGAAGATGTCTGGAAATAGATTTTTCTCTCTCTAACTGTCTTGTTTCTCTCTCTAAAATATTGATTTATGTTGAGAGTAGTAAATGAAGAAGGTTTTAAATGAGGAGTTCTTGGAGCCACTAGCATGACTTTTCACCAGCTTATAAAGCGACGAATCATGGCCGTATATGTTTTTTATATCTGACGGCAGATACTAATCGTGGCCGTAGAAGATTTAATCTTTGATCAACGGTTCTAAAGAGTCGTTGGTTGCGCCATCGACGGCTCACCTTCTCTCTATCTTTTAGACTACGCTTTCAATTCGCCCGACACTTAATTAATTTCTTTTTTCCTTTTTCTTTGTTGAATAAATCACTATAAATGTGCCATTTAACAAATGGAGTCCGATTATGGTTTACATCTCTCGTATGATATTTATGAGATTGCACGAAAAATGGAATTTATCCAATACAAATATGTAGCTACACTTCCCGTATATCTTATATATAAAAGAAAGAAACGCTAGGGCAACCCTAAGAAACCCTAATGTCATATTTGTAATTTTTTTTCAATTTTTATCAAATTTTTATCTCCTTAGTATTATTTTAAATACTATTTTCGAATTTTATCATATTTGTATCCCCTAAATATTATTTTTTATTTTTATCAGATTTTTGTCTCCTAAATATTATGGTTTATTTTTATCAAATTTTTATCTCCTAAATATTATTATAAATAATATTTTTTTAATTTTATCAATTTTATATCTCCTAACTATAATTTTAAATATAATTTTCAACTTTTAGCAGATTTTTATCTCCTAAATATTATTTTCGAATTTTATCAAAGTTATATCTCCTAAATAATATTTTAAATATTTTTTTCGAGTTTTATCATGTTTTGATTAGTTTTTTATCTCCTAAATATTAATTTTGTTTTTTATCAGATTATTGTCTCCTAAATATTATTTTTGATTTTTATCAAATTTTTATCTCCTAAATATTATTTTAAATAATAATTTTGATTTTAATCATATTTTATCTCCTAAATATTATTCTAATTATTATTTTCGTATTTTATCAACTTTTATCTCATTAACATTATTTGAAATATTATTTTCGATTTTTATCAAATTTTTATCTTCTAACTATTATTTTAAATTTTATTTTCGATTTTTATCAGATTTTTACCTTTTAAATATTATTTTTTGATTTTTTTATCAAATTTTTATCTCCTAAATATTATTTTAAATATTATTATCGATTTTCATCAAATTCTCCTATATATTATTTATAATAATCTGATTTTCGATTTTTACAGAAAAGGGTAAATAAATCTGATTTTCATCCCTAGCGAATTTTGTGACATCGTTTTACATAATGTTTGCAACATTTGAATTTTATTTCTTCCCTACCTAAGGCTTCTTCTTTTGGTAACCCGACTTTAGATTTTGTTTTTATCTTCTTCATCCTATTGACTGTGTGGCAATTAGTTTACATCTTTTTCCATCATGGCTTATCGGTAATTTCATTTTGTTAAATTATGTGTTTCATTAATTTATACCAAAGTTTTCAAATTTTATGTATAACAATTATTTCATTTTATATGTTATTGGACATGTTATTGAAATGGATGATTTGAGAGAATTAACCAAAAATGGGCGGAGCCACAAGCTATTGAAAGTCGACCTTCAAGACTTATTGTTTGTATGCGATATTTAATTTATTGTTTATATTTATTTTTGTTTCTTAATTTTCCAATTGTTAATTCCAGTGGCAAAACAGCCTGAAAATGAGGCAGTGGAGAAGGGCTTAGTTCCGATGCAAGATGTATAGATGGCCTTTTATGTTGTCGATAGTTTAGTTTTGATTATGTTAACTAAGTTATTAAATCTAATTACTTTTAAGCTCAACATGAAAGACATAGTTGATGATTTTTTTCCTGGTTCAAATTTTCAATCTACTGGTATTAGCTGATTCAATTCATTTGGAAAATTATTCAATAGTAAAGTTATTTCCTTTTTTTTGTGTGTAGTATACTTAATGATGTTCCAGATATAATAGAATTTTGATCATACGATACATCAAACGTTTGTTTATATTCTTACAACATCAAAACAATGCAATTTGTTGTCCCGTGCATCGCACGGGTACAATTACTAGTGTATATAAAAAGAAAAGGATTGATTAAGCTTAAGAATCCAATGTCAAAGTACTAATTATCCAATACAACTTTTAAAAATAAGGTAATTAATTAATTATAGTGGTCTATCAACGTTAATAAATCACACGATTAGTAAGATTTCATAATTAACAAATTTTATTATTTAGCTCACCCAGAATTCAAATGAATGCAAAAATAATCTTTTTGTTTTTTTTTTCTTTTTTCTTTTTTCTTTTCTATTTTTTCATAATTTATGCATAAAAACCCTAAATTTTCTTTCGAGGAAACTACCCCGAACCCCGAAACAGGTAAGAGCACTCTGTAATAAATTAAATTCTTGTACTCGTCAGTGCCAAAATAAGGGTTTTCTTTTTATATATATAATATGAGCAGCAATATCAGCATTTCAGTTTCCATCATTTATAATAAATATATAAATACAAAAATAAAATAAAAAATAAAGTCTTGAACAGAAATGCAGATCACCCCCACCGACTTAGCTTAGAAGCTAGGTTGCTGCAAAATCTAAGCATGTATATAGATATATATATATAAATCTAATACTACTATTCCTGATATTCTGTACAAACATTTAATGTACGAAGACCTAATTGACTGCTCACAAATTAATTAGATAAATAATAACTTTTTGAAAATCCCAGATTTTTTCCCCATCCATTTGATCCACAATCTACGCCAACTTCCTATACGTAACATTAAATACTTGTAACTCAATATTAAATTATTAATTATAATTAATAAATAATCATCTTTTTTCAAAGGCTTTCAATGCACAGATGGGTGAGTCATGGTCGTGGGCCAGTCATTGCTGATGAAGGGTCGGTTTTTTCAGCAAGAAAATTTAAATTAAAGTGGCTAAAAGTATTATATAAATAAATAAATAAATCTTATTTTCCTTTTATCCTGTCGAAGGATTTGATTTAACAGGTGGGCTTAAGCTACTATTTTTAAGGTTGTTGATGTATTGTCTGAACAACTAGCCTAGGGATATTACACGACTTATTGGCAATATTAATGCTTCTTGTAATTAATTAATTAATTAATTAATTAATTGCATGAGGGTACAAAAGAATAACATGCAGATCGATCCATGCCAGCAAATGGTTTTAAATATTTTCTGTAATAATGTGTTATGATTAATCAAAATTATATTATATATGTTGATTTCAGATTTGAGTTAACTTTTGCTTCGTATAACTTATAGCTACATATAAACTATCTTCATTTATAAAAATATAGATGTCGTCTTGCAGTATCTAATTGGTTTCGATTAAAACTAACAGTCTGTTACAAACTCTAACGAAATGAATCAATTGTCTAAATTACCCTTTCATTAAACGAGTATTTCTTCGAATCTTTAAAATTCCGTAACTCATAACTCCATAGGGACGTAATCATAACAACACATGAATCTGAAAGTTATTTAATCTTATTTTGGGACGCTCGTAATTTAAAAAAGTAAAAAAAATAAAAAAATAAAAGAAGGGGAAGACTTGCAACAATCATAAATAAACAATATACATAAATCAAAAGTTTTAAATTTTTTTTTTGTTTTTTTTTATCCCTATGCAAGAAGTAAAAGCCAATAAATGCATGATTGAATTGATTTATTTCTCCAATAATTAAGCATGTGCAATCTCACATGATAAGTCCATAAAATTGTGTCTTCGTAACTAAAAAAAGGTGGAGAATATAACACACTCACATATAAAGTACACGTCATCATCCACAACTAACATATCCATGTTCTCCACATGCTCATCCATACAAAAATAGTGCCCCCAAAAATAACAAATAATAAATAAATAAATTCTAATTATTTTTCATTTTTATTATTTTCCCCCCCAAAACATATGACCCCATAACAAATATATATCTCCAAATTGACAATGCAATATTGCAATAATAAGTACAAACAATAATTTTCCCACAAAGTTTTGTGTTTCTCTGTTGTGGTCTGATTTCAATTTCTGGTGGGCTCAAAGAAAACAAATACCAAATAATTCATTATTCCACTTTCTGATGCTGACTCTCACCACACAATACCTTAAAACAATGTAATAAAACATCATTGAGAACATGGTATGTTGAGCTAACGAATATAGACCGAGATCCCTCGGAAAAGTCGTCCACCAAAAGTAAAAGCAGACTCAAAACTACCGAAAATCCGAGAACAATCGATGTAAAGATCACGTTATCAATCAGCGGTGGAAGCAAGAAAAAAATCATGTACATAGAAATAGTCGGAAAAAGAATTGATCGAAATTACGAACCAATTTGTTCGTCCAAACGGCACCTATTCATCTTGTAAAAGGAATTTACAGAGCATCCTAAAATAAAAGGCACGCGCACACACGCACACACACACACACACATATCATCACTAAGACCACATAACTTGGACCCAAAAACAAAAACAACAACAAAGAATTCGAATGCCTTAACACCAAATTTAGCAGAAGCGGGAAAAAATGCACTCACATTGTTAGAAAAGCAAAAAGCACGAAAACAATAACCACGCAAAGAATCTTCTTCAAATTCTCATCATCCGTCTGAGCAGCTCGACTAGCCTCCCTATTGGGCCGGGCTCCACCATATCCATAATGATAGCCCGAAGAGGGCCCACCATGCCCACCACCACTCGAGAATCCATGAAACTGAACTCCGAAAAACGGAGAAAACATCCCTCCGAAGCCAGCAGACATACCAAAGTTAGTAAAACTCGCGGACGCAAAAGGCAAGAATCCACCCATGAGACCTAACATAACGTTCGAAAAGTTGTTGTCTGAAAGTGGAGGTGGGGCCGTGTCGGGTCTTTGTCCAGCTGGCCGATTAGGTATTTCAACACCTGGAACAGGTTTGGATCTTGGGTCGGTTGGGGTTTTGCCTCTGCCGTATAAAGGGATCAGTTTTTCCTCGTCTATTAGGGCTTTACAAACAGGGCATTCTTGACACTGAGAGTGAACTCTTAGCCATCTGTATAGGCATGGCCAACAGTAGAGATGCCCGCAGAGTGTAATCACGGGGTCCTGTGCTAAATCGATACAAATGTTGCACTCGAAATCGCCAGCTTCGTTTGCATTTCCCGTTGAGGAAGATGAGCTTTGGTGTGCAGCGGAGATTGGATCATGAGAGTCTGACATATCTGTCGAAATGAACTGAAAAATCGAAAGATCGATTAGGTTGACAGAGCAAGAAACACCGAATCGAAAACATTAATTCCTACACAAGCTATGTTTTTCAATTTCGAAGAATCATTAGTTACGGCGAGATCGGAAAAAACGAAAATAAATATCTGATAATCGGATCATCCCAAAGCAAAGGGCTGGCATTCAATAAATGGCAGTCGTGTGTGCAAAACAGAAAAGGATTTGATATTTTGAAATGATTATACGAACATTAATCCCCAATCTCAGATTATTGGAAACCCTAACAATGTGAATCGCTAATACAGGAAGAAATTCCAACAACAGCCTCTTTTTTCCAGGAATTCCTGCAATTTTAGATCACAGTAACCCTAAATTTGTGGATGTAATTTCAAGGATATGATTCGTAAATTGCCGAAAAGTAAATCTAACATATAACCATTAAACACGGAACAAAACGACATATGAATTCAACAGAATGAAACAAAAGAGGGAAAAACAAAAATACTCACCTTTTTACTTTTTAGTGATCAGGCAACAAATTGAGTGTGGGAAGGAATTGAATCATGAACGCCAAAAGAGAAATATCTCTGCAAAAAGGATTATTGACTTCTAGAAATTTCCACTTCTTGTTCGAAAATCTTGAACGGGTCGCGTAGCTAAAAGTCAAACATTTGTTTTTTGGGCTAATAAGTGGGCTTAATAAATACTTCGATTGGGTCATGCTCCAAATATTGGAACACTTTTGTTTAATATCGCAATTCTTTACAATATTCAAAAAAAAAAATCTTTAGAAACCAATTATTTTTGAGTAATTATAATAGCTTGGGTCATTTTTTTTTTTTTTTAATTTTTGTAGGGGAATACGAAATCAATTAGGCACACATGGCGAAAAACGGTGGAAGGGAAAAGCCTTTCAAGCAGTTAGAAACAATGAATGAAGTAAGAGAGTGAGCCAGCGTAAGAGCAAGAAGGAAATAAACTTGCAAAATGAAGACGATCATTAATAACCTTTGTCTCTCGCCGAAAGAAGAGCATGGAGGATGGCTTCTCCCGCAGATGGAATATGTGTACCGGGGCTTCCTTTGGAAACTAAAGATACTCTATAGAAGAATTTCGACCGACCAAAGAAGTAGTATAAAATTTCTCCCCGAACTTCAAAGCCACATCGAAATTCGCAATTTGACGGAGGCGGCAACCAAATCGAGAAGCTTGTTCACCTCCAAGAACTCCGACCCATGCTACGATTTGTGAGCAAAAATAGTAACCATTTTAGGGGGCAAAATAGCCAATTCCAAATCGGATAAAAAACAAAGCTTTGTGGGCTTATACAAGGCTGGGCAGGGTTCGGCCATGGGCCGACGGATCTGGATTCTGGGCCCATTTTAAATAAAGTTAAAAAAATATATAAATTTGCAATATATTGAATTTTGAAAACAATATAGCTACAGTGACTGGGCCGTGACATTTAATCGTCACCGTCCAATATCCGATCTATTAAAAGTCAATTCTTGGCACTGAAATTCATGTTTGTTACGAATGGTGCCATTCTTGGAAAAACCGTTATATATATATATATATATATCCTTTCATGAAATATGAAAGTTTCAATTTTGGGGTTCCAATCCAATGCAATTATCATTCATTTACGTAAAGAAACACGAATATAATTGTTTCACTCGATTAGGCATGGAATTATTTATGGTCAAAATTGGAATAGAGCATGAAATAGTTGTGGTCAAAATTGGAATACCAAGAAACACGCATATATATAGCTTATAGTAGATACTGCATGCTGTGTGTGTTAGTGTGTGAATGAGATGAAGTTGCACAAAGATATTTAATGAAGGTGTGTAGGGGCACCAAAAATCCGTGTCTTTTGCACTTTATTGTTGAAAATAAATTATGGCTTTTATTTATTTTACAATTATTTAATTTGTCTGGCTGTATTTAATATTTATGTCGATAATAATGGGGCACATATTCACCTTTTTTTCGTTGGAAATGTTGATTTACAGTAGTTCCATGCCTTTTCTGTATATTTCGAAAAATAAATTAATTTTACCACTTTATTTATTACTTCAAAATTGCGCCCGTATCTAACCTTCTTTAATTTATTTATTAAATTAATCTCTACTAGCAAAACTGATTTAATTGATGCAACAACAAGTAGAGTATCTTTTATACCCTAATGGTATTTTTGTAATTATTTATTTTTAACTACTAATTTTTAACTATAATTTGTAACCATTATCAATCTCCGATTTTTATCAATATATCTCAAATCTTAAGGGAGAAAGATAGAAATACAATTTTTTAAATCTTAATCTATATATATGAATTATAAATCTTAATATGTAATATTTAAAAAAGAAAAAACTAATGTTATTGACTATGTTAGTGTACGATATTTTCTTATTATGTATTAAGTTGATTATTTTTTTCACTTTTAAAATAATATCCCGTGCTAGTGTCATATAATAATAATTATAAATGATGAAATTTCGAGAGCTATTTCTTACGTTCAACAATATATAGTAGAACATCGATAAATAAACAATCTCACGTAAATAATAATTTTCCCAATTTTCACTTCGATAAAAATGTATTAAAAAATAATTCGTTCTATTATTTAATATTTTTATTAAATTAATAAAAAATTAGACTGTATTAATTTATCGTGATTAAATAAATTGAACTTATCTATACCTAGAAACTAACCCCGGGCAGTTCTTGTACAGTGTGACGCTCTGAAATTTATGTTCGTGAGAAACGGTGTTGCATTCATTTATTCAATTGAACTTTTTAATTATGTATTTTTTGATATGTAAAATTCACAACAAAAATAAATAAAAAAATTGAGAATTGAATATTTTCTTCCAACCGCAGAGACGTGCCTAATAATTTAAAGCATGCACGACTCTTGCCTGAAAGTATTGTTACTTGTAATATTTGGGTTAAATAGAACCTAATATTGAAAAGTGGGGTGAAATTATTTTGTTTTGAAATATTTGCCATAAAACGCTGATGCAAAAGTATGGGTGATAATAATATTCGTCCTAATTATTCTCAGTTTGTTATGTTTTTCACCACCTGTTTAAAATCATGACATCAATTTTATTATAAGATTTTGGTTGCATCAACATTACATTATTATTATATTATATGTTTATGATATATTTAATTTGATTTAATTTAGTTCCAAAAGTACAAAATCAAGTTTAAAAGACCAAACCAAATTGAAAAATAAAGAAGCTACAAAATTATAGGGTTGTGGCTGACATTTATTTTCAAGATTGATTGTACTGGGTAGGGGCCAAATAAAGGTATATTACGGTAACAACATTAGTCACGACAAATTAAAAAAAGTAATGAAATCACTAATCCAATCAGATTGCTCCACGTAATCACTTATTCACCGCTCATCGTCTACTCACTCACTCACTCAAAATTGAAAATTCTTTTCTATATATGGTTTTCCCCAATTATTCTGATACACTGCTTCAGAATTTAGATTTGATTTAGAAAAAAGAAAATAATTTTTTTTTATTGAAATTAAAAATAGAAATAAAAATAAGGAAGATTTTTTTTTGGCCAAGTGTTTGTCAATTGTCACCCTTTGAATTTCTTGGGGTGTAGATTATTTTCCTTTCACCTTCTCCTCCGCTCCGCGTCAATCTCAGAAATACCGATTGATTTTTTATTTATTTTTTAAATAAAAAAAAAATTGAAGAGAGAGAAAGCTAGAGAGAGAGAGAGAGAGAGAATTGAGGGGCGATTGCCTTTCTAGTCCGGCGAGAGATGACGCCGTTTAACAGCTTGAGGTATTACCTCTCGGAGCACCCTTCTATCGTCGGATTCCGATGGAGCCACGCTCAATCATGGGGCTCCACGTGGTCATTCCTCTTCTCCTCCATCGCCCTTTACATCTCCGCCGCCGTCCTCCTCCACGCCCTCCTCCTCCTCCTCTTCCGCCACCGCCGCCCCCTCCCGCTGGGCCCCGTCCCCGCCGCGCACTCCCTCTGCATGGCCCTTATCTCCGCCACCATCTTCGCCGGCACCGTGCTCTCCGCCGCCGCCGAGATCCGAGATTCGCGGTGGCTGTGGCGCCGCTCCCGCACCACCCCGTTCCAGTGGCTCCTGTGCTTCCCGCTCGGCACGCGCCCCTCCGGGCGCGTGTTCTTCTGGTCGTACGTGTACTACCTGTCGCGTTTCCTCCACGCGCTCCGGTCGTTCGTTGCGATCCTCCGGTACCGGAAGCTGTCGTTCTTCAAGCTCTTCAACCACTCGATCATGATATTCATGTCGTTCCTCTGGCTCGAATTCTCCCAATCGTTTCAAGTTCTGGCCATCCTTCTGACGACGCTCGTGTACTCCGTCGTGTACGGCTACCGGTTCTGGACGGCGGTCGGGCTGCCGAGCGCGTGCTTCCCATTCGTGGTGAATTGCCAGATGGCCCTGCTGAGCTGTAATCTGGTGTGCCATTTCGGCGTGCTCCTGCTCCATTTCGTCAAGGGCGGATGCAACGGGATTGGCGCGTGGGTTTTCAACTCCGTCCTGAATGGGGCAATTCTGTTACTGGTGCTCAATTTCTACGTCAAAATGCATCTCCGGAAAGTAAAGGCCCGCGGCGGCGGCGGTGGCGCAGATGACGGCCGTTTAGTAGAAATGGTCAAAGACAGAGATAGTTGAGGTCTGACATATTTATTTCTTTTTACCCTTTTCTATTTTAGTAGTAGTAGTAGATTAATGCCACAAACTATAAATATATATGTATATCTTTTATATATATAATATGATCAGTATTATATGTAACATATAGTAAGTAATGTCAGTGAATTAACAAGCCCTTTTCCAGTAGTGACTAAATATAACAGTGAAGAAGAAATTAGCAAAAACAAAGTATGTAATCTTAATTAGTTTTATAGTTTATAAGAACCAATTTTATATAATATATATAAAGATTAGTGAGGAGTTTACCATTACATTCTTACATCATTTATTCAATTTGATGCACTACCGCGCTGAATCCGGGAAGTTAGATTAATATGATACACCAGGCGGATTTGAACCGTGAATTTAATTTTGTAATTGTCTTCTAAGCATACATATATATGAGTGAGTGTTTTTGTGATTATGTGTGAATCTAGGATTAAAATTCACCCGGTGTAAATAAGAGCTAATTTTTCTTCTTTTTTTTTTTTTTTTCTGGAAATTAATTCGTTCAGGAATAAAATATAGTACTTGAAATTTGCAATGAATATATATGAGAAAAATCCAACAAGGTATGATATTATAATCTGACGGCAATAGTTAATTATTTTAGTCCTTTTCTAGAAAAAAAGGGGTAAAATTCGATATTTTGTCAACGTTCAGTGGTCATAATCTAAATTTCTGTATTTTTCAACCATCACTATAAAAGCAACCTTTTCGTAACATGCAAATAAGCACATGAAAATTCCAATAATTATATAAATATAACTACGTGACGACAAGTCCCACTATATATATAACCACGAGAATTAAGTGTCAACTTGACAATGATTTAAAACGTGAAAATATCAACTACAAATCTTGTCGCGACCTATTTTTAGAAACGGGTCTTCAAAATCGGGCCGGGCTATGTATTAGAAGGCCCGTTAACTGGAAAGAACAAATCCACAAGGGCCCATTAGGGTTCAAGCCCAGTATGTTAGGCCCTACTAAGAATTGCTCCGAAATTGGCCCCATTTACGTAAAAAAATATTCATGGAATAATTTATGGTCAAAATTGGAATAGAGCATGAAACACACATTTATTGGCAAGTTGACATATTTCGATTTGATTTTGGAGGAGCTATAGGGTCCCGATGTATAAATTGGAGCCCGGCCACTCTTCCTACATAAAGTGTAAAATTCATTAACATACATGCAATCATGCATTATGCATAATGTATTTTCCTAATTAACTACGAATCCTACGTAAAACACATTTCGATATCGACTGACTTGACCGTTGTAGCACTAACTCCGATTTTAGTTCAGGTTTCTCTCTTTTGCAGTAGCTCGCTCCAAGATTTGCAAACCGTGTTCTTCCCTAATATTTATTGCTTCTCTAATTTTCTATCTTTTTGTGTCAGGGAGATGAAATAAGTTATTTTGTGGGAAAGGGATTGTTCATTTTATGTATTAATGAAGTACAATAGAACCTCGATAAATGAGTAACCTCAATTAAATAATAAATTTTCTCGGTCCCGACTCGGGGACAACGTGCTAAATTAATAATATATTCGCTAAATTTATAAGATCATACACGTTCGAAAAATTTAAGAAGCACCATATAATATATAAATTAATAACGCATAAAAATATTTTAGTACATATTTTATATATAGATCTATGAAAGCTTAATACAATATAATTTAATTGTTGCTTGTTTCTTGTTGAAGTTCACGTTACCACCAATCCCGTCCCTCACTTTTCTTAACATGGTTAGAACTTTCGTTATAGTTTTCTCATAATTCAACATAAAATCGTTCTATACTATTGCTGCTTTAAGAGCTTTCGTTCGTGAAACGGACTCTATAATACATTGAACTAATGGTACTATTGATTTCTTAGCAGACTCAAAAACTTGCAAGTGTTTGTTATCTTCAAGAATCGAAATGCCTTTAGATGATTCAGTGAGTCATATAATTGAGTTGATATAGCTTGTTGACGCGGCAATTAATACATTTATATTTATATTTATATTATATATACTATGAATGAATGAATATATATATATATATCTGATCGATATCTTGGAATTAAATGAAGATAAGAAAAGACTGTACGTTCAATTATAATTATATATTGTTAAGGAAAAATAAGGTGCCGAGTGCCATGTCTTCATGGGATATATAGTTATCCTCCACAATCTATTATTAATAATTAATCACCACCTATTTATCTTGTATTGTTAATTTAGCACCTAATCAGACCTAAAAACAAAATTCATTTTTATATGCAATTTAATTTAGAAAAAAAATATATATATGTACTTCGTCCCATGCAACATCTAAAATTTTCGTTTTCATTTTTTTTTTGTGATTAAAAAAAAACATTATGATTTTTCTCGAAATAATTAAATTATATTTTAAAGGGGTTTAATTTTTTAATATTTTTAAAACTAATTATATTCTGATGTAGTTATGGAGTGGCATTCTTATCAACATACATCTCCCCATTGAATTGAAACATGCAAATATAAATATAAATGACAAATGCATAAATAAATTAAATGAAACAAAAGGTAGGTAGAATATTATGAATGTGTTTATGCTCATCTTTATATTGATGTACATTATTACATCCATGGAATTCCTATCCGTACGTCGTACCTGATGAACCATTTCCATTATAAGATTAATATTTTCTCCATTCATTAATATAACAAATCCAGTTATTATATATATATATATATATATATATATATATATATATATATATATATATATATATATATATATATATTGAAATAAAGAATAGTGAATAATAGTGTATTCCAGCCAGGTAATTACACCGTTACCAGTTAGCACGTCGTCTAATTATTTTCCTCATATTTTTTTGATAAGTAATTATTTTCCTCATCAGTTACCCTTATTTGCAATCGGTATATATAGAAGAAAAAAAAATATATATATCATATTTATTGAATGTATAATCGGGGTTTATTAGTTCACTGTCCAGGTTCAATGTATGCGGCGACTCGAAACGGATCCAATAGGCAATGAATAGAGAATCTTCCTTAATATGTAAATTTCTTAATTTGTTAAAAATTAATCATCATTTTCTATACTTGCAACCTAATGTAATTCTTTTATTATCATTGTAAAACACTTTATTTCTTTCAACAATTCATGTTCATTCACTAATTATTCCTAGTGACTCATCAATAATATTTTTCATTAGGACAAATCTCACCAACCATCAATAGTTGGACAAGTATCCACTCATATCTTGTGGGTTTTTTCTCTCTTAATAATTAAATATTAATCTTTGAAATCAACTTTTTCGAAAACCATTACACAATAAATACTAGCTCAAATGTTTTTAATGAAGTAATACGGAGCCAAATATACAGCTGCACTGGATAAATCTATTCTCTTTTATAATAATTTGCAAATTATACGAGAGACGTAAACCACACTTGGCTAATTATGTGTGACAAACTCGACTTATCGACCATTGTCATGCATGAGGATTCAAATATAGACCAACTGACGTCTACTCGCTTGCTAGATCATCCCGTGCGGGACCAGACTAGTTCAAATATTGATTTTGTTGTCTGATGACCTGATTGCAATCTTAATAATTGGTCATGTTTACAACGTTTAATTTCTTCAATTCTCCAAATAATTTGAACTATTTCAATTTACAACTCGTTTCAATTGTACACGCTATAAAACGATTCAAGTAACAATTAAGAAAAACATCAAAAAAATATATATAATAATTTGATATCATATATATTAATTATCAAGAACCCTCTACAAACTATTGTCACAAAAGCCGCGGATTAATACATCTCTATAACAAAACCTATTACAAGTACACGTTTTTAATAAAGAAATACTTTCTTCTTGTCCATAATAATACAACATATATCGTTTCCATTAATTCGCAATAAAATTTCATAAAATAACGGAGGAATTAAACCCGACACCGTTTTCTCGATGCGCCGGTGAGTAAGAATAGCAAGCTTTTTTAAGCTCGTTATACTTTTTAATATCAAAATTTTGGTCGCAAGTGACTTTTCGTCGCAGACCTTGCGACGGGTGTTTGGCGACGTTTTGTGTAGGATTTGGCGACGAAAAAAATTCGTCGCAGACAGTAAAAAATCGTCGCCAAATATACATTTTCGTCGCCAGTCGACCATTTTGGCCTAGTGACTGGATAAACTTATTATCTTTTATAATAGTTTGCAAACAACACAAGAGACGGAAACCACACTAGACTAACTATTTGTGACAAGTTTGACTTAGCGACTGTTGACAAGAAAATTCGAACGTAGATCAACTGACGTATACTCACTTATTTCAACCGCTAGGCCATCCCTTGTGGGACCAGACTAGCTCAAATGTTGATTTGGTTGTTTACTGACCTAATTTCAATCTTAATAATTAGTCATGTTTACAACGTTCTTCATTTCTCTCAATAATTTAACTATTTCAGCGTACACGCCAAAAAATGATTCATATGTAACAATTAACAAAAACGTTGAAATATATGTTATAATTTGATTCCATAAATATATTGATTATCAGGAACCCTACATACTATTGTCACAAAAAGCCGCGGATTAATACATCTCTATAACAAACCTATTACAAATACACGTTTTTAATTAAGAAATACATTCTTCTTGTCTTAGTATTTCTCACAATAATTTCATAAAATAACCGAAGAATTAAACCCGACACCGTTTTCTCGATGCGCCGGTGAGTAAGAATAGCAAGCTTTTTTAAGCTCGTTATACTTTTTAATATCAAAATTTTCGGCCTCGATTAATCGCTTCTGTTTCGAGTGGAATCGGCTCTGGTAAAACCCTTCGAACGAAGGTTCTTTAGCTGTTCGAAGGAAGAAAACGTATGCACCCATGAAATACATGGAGGTTACGTAGAAGCAGATTGGTTCCATTACATCCCATGACAGTTCCCAGAACGTTAGCCGCATGAATGCTGCTGTTTGGACACACAGATAACCTAATCCGAAATTGAGCTCACGATGTACGAGTAATTTGGCTTTTTCGTCAATTGCTTGCTTTTGTTTTTCCATTTCTTGAAATTCCTTCATTTTGATTGGATTAGTTTCTGGCATTATTGCTTGTATGGCTTTTATCACCTGCACGTAATTAAGTACAGTTTAATTAGTTTCTTTAATCTCGGATTAATTAATTAATTATTTGTTTATTTAATTACAGAAATTATGAAATTACCTTTTCGGGTTTGAGGAAAACGATGTTGCCAAGAACAATTACTGATCCGGATTGGTCAAGTATTTTGGCGAATTCTAGCCGTTGATCTGTGCTCGAGCAATCTTGACCGCAGATTTCCAGGAACTCTGAATAAGAAACGCAATCCTTTTCGATCTGTCTCAGCCTCAACTTCACCGTCTCCAGCTGGGAAATTCTGAGGATTTTCACAGCGTCCTTCACCGTCAGACTCCCTACCGTCGGCGGCGGTGCCGCCGCCGGCTCCGCCGGTGTCAGGCTGTCGAGCCTGAACCTGTCTCTGGCAATGTCCATCTCCCGGAGCTTCTCCAGAAGCTTTTCTCCGGTGGGGAGGAACCGCATCCCGGGAGGCGGCGGCGCCGCCGCCGAGTTGTGGTGGAGGTGTCGCCGGAATATTCCGTCGTCTCCGGGATCCGGGGCGAGTTTGGTCGGCGTGGTGCGATGGTTCAGGGCTTTGGATTGGGCGGCGGTGCATGGGGAGGAGACGCGGCAGTTGGTTACGGCGGGGGTGCTGATTCTCGACATGCTGAATACGCGTTGAGCTAATGTTTGCTTGAACGCCATTGATGCCAGAAAAAAATAACGTATAAATTACTGTAAGAAGATTTTCTAGAGAGAGAGAGAGAGAAAATAATGAGAGAGAAGGGAAATTAAATGGGTTTGTTTTGAATTGGTTCAAACTGTTGCGTAGGGCTGTCTATATATAGCTCTACCCACAAGAGCCAACAAAATAAAAGAATAAAATAATGTCATTATTATTATCTGATATTTTAATTATTTATTTATTTAATAAATAAGAAAAAAAAAAATCATTTTATACAGCCCAATAATGTGGAACAAATGGGTCAAATGTTTAAAATCACATACATCACGACTCGTGAATTCTTTAATCAGGGTGACGTGGCGCAGCGGATAAGCACCGTCTGATTAATTAGGGACGCTTTCTTTGTTGGTTCTAATAAATTATGATTGACACGTGTTAATTGTGGAGAGGCTGGAAATGAGATGTGGTCAATGTGCTATAATAGTCCGGTGCACAGAGGATCAAGTGGGTGGATGTGACGTGGCTGGATTAATTTTTTATTCTTTTTAATTTGAGAAAAAAGGAAAAGACGGAGGAAGATGGATGGAGTTTTGGTAAGTTACACGTGAACGTGTCGCCACATAAACATTTGGGTGGATACATATCCGAAACCCAAACCCGAACCCGAACCCGAACCCGAACCCGGTAACTTTTAAATGGGTAGCACTTAGCTGTTTCCTAAGTCTCAATTGGTGTTTGTATGAACCTACACCGGGTTCAGCCTATTGCCATATAATTCCATTCCATTTTCTTTTTTTTTTTTTTTTTTTGCTTTTTTAGGAGAATAATTCAATTTTTATATATTATATAGTTTTGCACATTACTGAAATTAATACAACATCAATATTATTTTCTCAATTTTGTCTTCTTGATTAGTTGATTAACATTAGCGCTCTTCTAACTTCATCAATTAAACTAAACTATTTTATTGGACTTTGTTTGTTTTATGTATTTAATTATACCGAATTAGTAAGATTAAGAACCTTCATTGGAGACTCGTGTTACCAAAAGTGAAGAGCCAAAATTGATGCTTAATTGAATTATGCCTTTTGCACTCAATGAAGAGAAAATTGCGTGTATCTATCTAAGAACCGATTAGGATTTGTGTAAACATAAGAACCACTCAACTAATTAACTAATAAGTAATATAACTAGCTTTTTAAAATGCTTTTTGCCAACTAAATTGAACATTTTATTAGTTTGGGAATGAAAGGTGGCTGCAACTAAATTACCATGATAATATATATACACACACACATATACATACATACGACTCTGCTAGGATATTGAACAATCGAACTTCAATCGTTCACACTTTTCTTGGAATAAATCGACTTTTATTTAATTGTGTGATAAATAATAGTTGGAAGTGTTTCCTTTCTTTCTACTCTTACATCCGACTACTAAAATTCTATTAATTCAGCAATATATTAAATTATCGAATTTTTTTCGTATAATTTTTTACTTTAGATCGAGAATGTGAGCACGGATAGATTCCCAAACTCCAACAAATTAAAAAGTGCAAAACTCGGATTATTTTTGGCTTTAGGACAATATTATTATTCGATATTCCTCGGACCGATAAATTAGTGAGAGCATCATCGTACCCTTGTCCTTGTTTGTAGTATTTGGATTATGCTCACAATTTGGCAATCAAGCACAATTATTATATTCTTATTTCTCAGAATATTAAAGATTCCTCAATCAGACCACACATGTTCTGCAGCATCACTTCACCACGTTAAGCCCTTCTCCTCCATTGTTTTCGCATTCGAATACCTCCAAATATTGTCGATAATATTTCGAATTCGTGACTCAAATCAATAAATATTATCCTTATTTGTGATACGACTACATATTCACGAATATCATTCATATATTCTCTTAGGCCTCGTTCGGCTGCCAAAATATAATTTATCATTATCAAAGTTATCAAACTAACCAAACATCAAATAAAGTCTCAACTATTTAATAAATATTCCAGAACAAAAAAGACTAAAAATACCCTTGATCTATCTATCTAGCAAACAGAAGATTACATATAGTTTCCTCCATTGAAACATTAAAAGATCTCCCATTTTCAAGCCTCTTCTTTTCTTTCCTGTAATAATCCATCTCACGCGCCTTACCGCATTTCTCGAGACCAGCTAACAAGACACAATAAGTCCCCAAAACAACCTTAACACCCGCCTTTTTCATTACATCGAATGTTTCAAGTGCCATGTCAGCATTTCCCGACGAAAAATATGCACCGATTAAAGCCGTATACTCAGCACAACTCCTCTCCTTTTCCGGTAATAAATCGAACACTTTTGCAGCAGAAGTAGCTTCTTCGCCACATCCAAGTCGATATATCAAAGTAGAGTTCAAATGTGTGCCGAGAGAAAAACCTTGCATGGCAATTTTCTCGAAAATCTCAACCACCTTCGGGAAAGAACTTATTCGAACGAATAAACCGATTAATGCAAGATACGCAGTTCTTTCGATATGTATTCCTGATTTCACACTATACTCACACGCCAATAAAGCACCATTTTGCCTTTGACAAGCACTATTTACCTCGATAACTTTTGAGACAACCCCACTTTCTAATCGAACACCCTTTTCAGCCATGTCCGAAAGCAAAGAGTCAACACCAACAAGACTCCGCTTATTCAATAAATTCAAAACGAGGCTATTTTCCAAGGCAAAGTCATTATCAAGATTATATTTTTCTGGCTCGTCGTTTAAGTTTTCTTCTGCAGAGAAGTGTCGGTTGACTTGCCTTAGAAGCATATCACTTTCCCCGGCAATTTTGAAAGCCTCGAGTGCTTTTTGATATATAGGGTAACGGAGGACAAAGAAGTTATCTTTCATGTATTCGAGAATCTTTGTCATTGCTCGTATTTCCCCTGTTTTGCAACTAATTTCGATTAAAATATTGCATGAGGCTTTATCGGGTTGCACGCTTGCTTCTTGCATTTTATCGAATATCTCCAAAGCTTCGTCGAATTTGCCTGATATGAATGAAAAAAGAGAACAACACTTAAATAAAGTAGTATACAATACAACTATGCATATATGTATCTACAATCAAATATGGTTTCGTCAATACCAACAAACAGAAAGAAAAGATTACATTTTTATAACATATATGTATACAAGACGAATCTCATAACATATGGCCTCAAATCGCAAGTGACATTCGTTTCGATTTCTAATTCAACAATCAAATGAAAAAACAAATCATTTTACAAATTTTCGAACCGGTTTCCATCATTCGTGTTTTCTTGCTCTATGCTCCTACCTTTTAAATTCAAACAATAGATACAAAGTCCAATGCACAATCCCCAACATATACATACAAAAAGCTGCGAATGAAGTAACCACAAACTCACCGGACGAAGCAAGAAACTCCATAAGAACCGTATAAGTATAGCAATTAGGTTTTACGCCCGATTCGAGCATCTCCTTGTACACATCAGCCGCCTCATCAACTTTCTTCCGACCGAACAAAATCTTCATATAAGCCGTGTAGGAAACAACCGTGGGGCGGCACCCCTTCGCCTTCATCTCCTCCCACAAACTAACCGCCCCATCAAAATCGCCGCCGTTAGACAACCAATGCATAATCGAAGTGTAGGTGACAACATCAACCTTGACCTTTTCATCCTTCATTCGACTAAAAACATACATCATCGAAGAAATCCGATTCGCTTCGCCGAAAATATCACACATTGTGGTGTAGGTGTACTGATCGTGCTTGAATTTTTTCCTCGTGGATGCCCAGTTGAAAAAGAGCCAAGCTTTCTCCATTGGAGGGTGAGTTTTGAGAACTTGGGTGACTGTGTAGGAATCCCATTTTGTCGGGAGATTGTCCAGCTGTTCTTGAGCGGAATCCCAGGTTGAATACTTGAGGATGTTGTAGATTTTTGTGATTTTCTCCCTCGAGTAAATCTTTGGCTCTGGGTTGTCATTTTTCTTGGTCGATGATTTCTTGGTGGGGGATTTATTAATTTTTTGACGGATATAATTGATGGGTTTTGTTCGTTTGGTGGTTTTCAGAGAGGTGAAACCCTTAGTTAGAACTTGACCTAATAAAGGTTTGATTTTTTTCAGGAATCGATGGGGGGTGTGGTAAGAAAACATGGAGGAATGATTTCAAGAAGTTTCTTCATCAGGAGAGAATTCAGACAACCATTTTTTATACTCAAGAGTAGTGAAAATTGAGAACGGGAATTTCAAAATTTCTTCGATTTTGTTCGAAGGACGGTTTCACCCCAGCCAAAAACATGGTGGAGGAGAAAAGGGAGGTGATTTGACTATTTTACCCCTGCCAAAACGCGTTTGAATGGCACGCGCTGAACTCAGGCAAGGATTTGGCAGAAAATGGCCGATTTCGTGATCGATGCTCCAAATAACAGAGTTTGGGGCATCGTGCATCTGTTTTTACTTTGTGGGGCAATATGCAAAACTTGTCAAAGTTCAGGGGGCAAAATGGCATTAACCCTTACTTTATTTAGATCCAATTTCTAAAAAGGGTATATAGCATTCCAACCCCCTTGTGGTTTAATATTTTTGCACATAAACCCTTTATATTTTCAATATAAGCAAATAGCCTCTTGTACTTTCAAAATTTTCTTCTTCTAGTAAGTACGATTATTTGTCAAGTGGAATAACACAACGGGGTTGTGTGCTTATATTAAAAGTGCAAGGGCTCATGTGCAAAAACATCAAGCGACAGAGAGTTAAGCACTATTTAGTATTTACCCTTCTGAAAATGGTTGAAATATTTTTACCAAAATAAGCTAAGAATTAAAATTTTATTTGCAGACTCGTTAACTAATAATTTCAAAGTCACATTTTTTATGATATCTTCAAAAAAAAAAAAAAAACCCGAAAACCTCGCTTCTCTAGTTAGAGTTGTGCTCTTCCTCGATATTTGATCGTTCTTAAGTCTTGCTCCGACTATCGAAAACTATTTGTTTCAACTACTAACAGCTTAGCAGAAGCAGAGGAAACAAACAATGCTAACAACATTTGAAGATCGAATGTACATTAATATCATCACAACAACATCATTTGTCCTAAAGTTACATGTTCTTGCATCGTATAAATTTGTCTCTCCGGCATTCTCTTCGACAAGAACGCGACAAACTTTGGCATGTTCTTATCATCACCTGTTTCCAAAACCATTCAAGATTAACGAGTTCTGCATAATCAAATAAACGAAATTCTCCACATATCATTGCAAGTCCGTTTTTCTTAGTATAATTTGGAAGGCGACACGTCGAAATCCAACAGTCGCCCTGCCCAGAAAGACACGCATCACTTGCTATCTTCACCATTTAGAAACTACTAGTTACTCGATCTTCCAAGTAAAAAAAAAACAAATCTTTCTGACCAATTATTAATGTTAACTAAAACAAATAGATAATGTATACAAAGAGGTAATAACCTCTATCACATACATAAATAATCATCTATATTCATTTCAATTTCTCGGAAATGGTCCGCACGAACGGACCACTATTTTTATTTACACGTTCATCACGAAAACATACCAATGTCCTGATTCGATCCACTAGGATGATTAATAATCTTCCTCAAGATCAAAGTCCTCGCCATCCTCGTTTCTTGAGTACACTTATTCGCATGCTTGCTCAAATCGTGTATTGTCTTCACGAAACTATCCACCTTCTTCTTAATCTCCTCCACCGCCACAACCACCGCCACCTCATCCCCACTCCCCGCAAACTCGGCGTTAGCCAACAAAGCTTCGATCTCGATCCGAAACTTATCCACTAGCACTCTTATGTTGTCCAAATCTTTGATCACAATGTAACTCCCTATCTGCATTGAGCTAATTATCTCTCTCTGCCCTCTTAAATCCCTTTCGCAGTTTTTCCAAATCGAGTTCAGCCATTTCCCCATCGACCCTAGCGGGACAGCGGCGGCTGCCGCCAGCGCTGTCACCACCGCCGGAGCGCTGACCGCGGCGGCCACGACCGAGCATATCAAGACGGACGCGAAGGCGACTATGAATATGACATTTGATACTTTCCTCCAAGCCGAGACTTTTCCCATTTTTCGATCGAGTTTTCGTTTCTTCACTTGCAGTTTTTCGAGCATCGAGAGCTGCTTCGAGTAGACGGAATTGAAGACCTTGAAGAACTCGTGTGTGAATGGATCGCCTGTTGTTTGGAAGTTTTTCAATTCGTCGAGGGTTCTGGAGTAGTCCTTGTCGCCGCCGCCGGAGTTATGTTCCTCGTGGAACTTTTTTAGGGCTACGTTGATGATGGACTCGATGTGGCCGGCGCGTTTGAGGCACGCGTCGAGGGCGGTGCAGAAATCTAGGGTTGCGAGGCTGTTCTCGAAGTAGTCGTCGACGAGTTCGGACAGCTCCTTGTTCTTCCAAACGTCCATTTTGTTCTGGAGGATGATTTTGACTACTTCGTAATTCATCTCGAGCAGGCATTCCGTCACGTCGGAGAGAGAATCTAGGGAGAGAGATCGGACCTCGAGGCCGACGGCTATTGAGTTGATGGCTCGAGTCGTACGGAGCTGGAGGCTCGAGTCGAAGCTCCGTAGATCTGGATCGGCGCGGCAGGCGGCTTCGTATGAGCTGAAATCGGCGTTCGACGATTTCGACGCGGCGGCGTCGGATTTGGAGATGGGGTTGGAGAGGGTTCGAGAGGGAGGCTCCGACGACGGGGGACGGCGGCGGATGGTGCTGCTGCTTCTGCTAATACGGCTGATTTGACTACCCATTTTCGTTTGATGTGTAAATGCGATTAATTGGATTAATGAAGAGAGAAGAACCAGACCGATGAGTGGTCAGATAGTGTTCTTGATCATTGACTTTGACACATTTGACTTTCGTGTATATAAAATATAATAAATAAATAATAAAAAATGAAAATACGGAAGCCACGCGGAAATTGATATAAAAATTGAAATAATAATGCCAATATGAAATGGGAGTAGTATTATCTTCCTACCAGATTCCAATTTGATCCCTCTGTGCCTTACAAATTTGACTATATAGATTTTGGTTTAGCTTATTAATTTTATTTTGGTAATTTCAGTTATTTTAATGAATTATTTGGGGGAAAAAAGGGAAAATTAAATGAAAGCATACCTGCAGCCCGAGTTTTCGTATTGTTTGATTTCAATGAGGTATATCGAAGAATTATTAAGCTAATGGTACGTCATAAATTGTCCAACAACCTTCTAATAGTAAATATATAGCTCGTCATCATTTGTTGAAAAAATATTTAAATGACTAGGGGTATAAATTATAATTCTTGAAAATCAATCTAAAATGACCAAAAGTAATAGTATTTTGTCACTAAATCACCAAATGATGTGAGCAGGTATAAATAACTATTGTTGGACTTGGTCAATAATTGATTGTATTAAGTAAAATACTTTACATACAATAATAAGCTCATTGGTACAAAATAATAAGCGCAACTCATGAGTTATGACCAAGTCCACTATAAGGTAATGGATAAATCATTAATATAATAAGTAAGACAAAACTTTAATTTATAAGCAATCAGTCGTTGTAGTATAGTGGTAAGTATTCCCGCCTGTCACGCGGGTGACCCGGGTTCGATCCCCGGCAACGGCGATTTAATAATTTTTAGTCGGCCTATTTTAGTTATATTAAGGTAATTAATTTAAACTTTAAACTTTAAATATCAAGTCGTTGTAGTATAGTGGTAAGTATTCCCGCCTGTCACGCGGGTGACCCGGGTTCGATCCCCGGCAACGGCGTTTTTTATTTTCGGTGTTAAATTGTGCTATTTAAATCGGGCTAGAGAAGCCCACTGTCGAGTTTTATGAGGACAACTTTTTTTCATTTTCTTCTATTGGGTTAGGAAGGCCCAATTAAGATACAATTATGTACAGTCAAGCCCGAAGACCAAGTTTCAATGGCCTTTCTAATTTTTTTATTCATACAAAAAAGAAAATAAAAAAAAAAATCATTTAGTTTAATATGATTAGTAAGGGCTTACTATATAATGTAAAAGTTGATTTATCGATAAAGCAAAGAGTAAGATAGGACACCCATCGTCACAGTTAAACGGTTGTGTCACTAGAAAATGCTTAATGACATTTAATTAAAGTTACGAACAGATGAGAGTGAGTAGACAGTTAGGGTCAAATGCCGAAAATCAGCGGCCAAGATAAAAAAAAATCTACAGTCTTAAAAGGTTTGACTTAAGTGTTGACTTCTAAATAGTTGGACTGCCTGAAGAGAATTAGGGTTAATGGGCCGAATACCAAATAATTCAGTTGGGCCCAATACGAACACATTGCTCGTTTGACAATCCTATTATCGGGTGCATAATTAATACAATTAAGCTGTCATTAATGAAGATGGAAGTTCTTGCCTGCCAGAATTTCGAACAGGCATTCAGCCCAGAGTTTGATAGACATAATCAGACAAGAAAATCAAAATTCATAATTCTCAGACGACAAACCAAAATCCAAAAAAAGATTTCAAGTTTAATCTGATTAACTGAACTTGGTTAATCAATAAAATAAAAATGATTAAAATCCATAATAATCTTTACTTAATTTGTCAACAAACAAGTCCCACACTAACTCATTGAATTGTAGATTCCAAAGTTGTCTTTTCTGGGCTCCAAACTCCAAACTGTTCTAGTACAAATCAAAACAAAGATTCTGGTAATGACCTTTTCGGGTTTAAATTAATGAACCTAATTATAACTAATTAATTAAGTAATTAGCCAAGTTAATGGGAACACAAAGAAACTAAGAAAGATCCAGGTAATTGCTAATGTCCATCACGTGCTGGTGTCACGTGATAGCATGCCCCCCGGTTTAAACTGACAATAATTTTTTTAAGACTTGAGGAATGAACCAAATTGAAACAGTTGGACCAAAAAACCTGGTCCATTGTTTGAAATTCCAGGTAATTTTTGGTGTATTTTAGTCTACATTGTCCCCCCCCCCCCCCCCCTCTTGATCAAGGTATTTTATTTATTTATTTATTTATATATCCGTGCAACAAATTATTAATTTAATTTAATATGATTTGACATACCAGTGATGGGCACTTTCACTTTTGTCCCAGACTTAGATATTTTTATATTATTTTTTTGGCATATTAATTAGACTGTGATATTTTTTTTTTGCCCAATTAAATCACTAACTATGTGTAACATTTTGTAAAGGCGGTTTAATTCTCATTCTCATGTACATATTTAATTTGAGGTCATTCGTTTCAAAAAAGATTACATACATTATTAATTATATTATATATATATATATATATAATAAATAAAGAAACACATTCATATTAAAAAGTCACATACGAGATAATATTTTTTTTTTTTTTTTTTGAGTAATTCAAGTCAATACAAGGGGAAGTAGGGGAGGGGGGACTCGAACCCTAGACCTTTTACCCTAGGCTAGGTACCAACTCTCCTAATGAGGCTTGGTTATACGAGATAATATTTTTAACGTACGAGAAATGCAACTTTTTGACCCAAACAAAGCTGCAATAAGTGATGGGAAAGGAGCACAAAAACAAAACATTGGATTGCGAAAACAATTCTGTTTGGACACAAGTGATGAATTTGCCCAAATCAACTAACTAATTAAGCAAAACATGTTTAATCACTGCCCCTAATTACCAAAACAAGTCTTGATTAATAAATCAATTTTTTTCTTACACAGATAAAATTATATTTAATTTATGGTCGACTGTCCCTCTTTGAGGAGTCTCTGTTCTGAAATTTGCGTTAGGTATCACTGCTGCTGTAATGTTTGACTCACTTAGCTTCTCACTAAAATCACATGTACAAGAAATAAATTCTTGAATATGTATAATTAATTAATTAATTTTTTTTAAACAAAAAAAAAATAAAAATTGAATAAAATCAATTTGAAAAAAAAAATAATAATTTTTTTTTTTTTCAGGAAGTTTTGTAGAGAGAAACTGAAGTTATTAAAAACAATTATGAACAAGAAATTAGGGTAAAATAGAACATAAAAAGAAAATGGAAAAATATCTGGAGGGAGCCGACCAGCTAAATTGAACGATGATGCCTGAATCTGAATTAATGTTGCTGTAGAAGATGACGTGGCAAACAAAGAAGATGGGACACTCACAAACTATATAATAGTATACAAGTCCTTTTTGGCCACTATAAAAACCCCTTTAATTTGCTCCCTCATTTCAGACTCATCAAACTAATTAGTATATATTTATTTGAGTACATGCAAACATAATTTTGCATAATATACATTTTTCAGTCCAATAATTCATCTCCTCATTCTTGAAATCAAATATATATCAACAGAGCCAATCATTTGCTTCCATCTGTCTCTACTTAATTAGCAACCAAAGCAAAAATAATAAAAATGGAGATGAAAATGGGGAAAGAAGGATCAGGTGAGAAGAGATTATCAAGCAGAAAACTTGGAAGGTTCTTGAAGCAACAGAGAGGAAGGCTCTACATTGTAAGAAGATGTGTTGTCATGCTGCTTTGCTGGCATGATTAGAGATTACAGATACAATTAATTAAGAGATGATTAATTAATTATGTTTCTTCAAAGGGTTTAATTTTTTCCTCTTAATTATGTAAATAGCACAAGGGAAAAGGGTTATCTATATCCATCAAGATCAATGCTTAATTCCCTTTTTTTAGTGAGATATATCATTGTTTTACTTAATTACTCCCCCCCCCCCCCCCCTTTTTTTTGATGCATGGCATTGGAATTAATTTATATATTCCAAGTGCCTTTTTTTTGGTATTATATAAAACGATTACCATTCTTGATTCTACTATTTTCGTTGTAGTTCATTTAGTTTGTTTAATACCCTCGTATTTACATACAAACAACTAAACGAAAGAATCATCAATCAAGAAGATATAATTTATAAAAAGACTGCAATGTCATTTGATCTGAGTTCGAATCGTCATTGTCCACATTTTTTTATGATTGAGTCAATAAAAAAGAAGTAAAGACGGGTTTATTCTATACTCTGCTCTTGATGAAAAAAACCATTAATTAATATATATAAATGAAGAAGTATTTGTTTATTAATACATTACATTAATTAATATATTTGTTTATTTAACTATTTAATTATGGTGATGAACAAACGTAAGTGAAGGGTAGTATGATTAATGGAGAATTTGGAGCTACCTTTATGAAAAAGGGGGTTAAAAAATGTTAGTGGAGATGGCATGCATGTGAGTTTGTTCCCCATGAAAGGACACTCATATGTCTTCATTGTATGAACTTTGTCTTTATTTATGTCCATATTATACACATTTTTTTTTTATTTTCTATTTTTGTTTTAATTGTTTTTTTATGGAGATTATAACCTATAACATTAAACCAAAAAAAATTATAGAATCTATTCCCACAAATAAATTACAAAAAACATGTTTGTGTAAATTCATCTTGTTAGTATTTAGTACATGACAAGAGTCTTGTTGTATTGGTAATTAAATTGACTAAATAATTGGATTTCGTTTGATTTTTGGTATTCCAATAACTCGTCCAGTCGACTAACAAATATTTGTTTTTTTGTTGGACTTCTCGAGATATGTTATCTTGTCTTGGCAACCAAACGGAGCCTTAATATGTAATTTAATTTAGTAATCAATATTAGTCTTTTGAGTTTTGACCGGGATTCGGATGAATAATATAAAGTGGGAACACTAAATTCCAAAAAAAAATTGGAAAAACTAAAAATTGAAGTTAGGGCCCTTTGGTATGGTATCGGGCCCTAAGAAGACAGATATTAGGGGTGGGCCCAAGTACAATAGATGTGTCCAGCCCATTGTGCACGTGCGAGCCATGTGTGATTGCTGACTAGTCAGTCATACTGTTTGTTTTTCAACAAAGTTTGCTTTTTTCCTTATTCATCAACTTTTTGTTCACACATGAGTGTTTGTTTGGATGCCATTGATAACGGAATTCCGAAATTTGGATTCCAATTTTGCAATTATTTTATTTATTTGTTTCAAATTCCAAAAATAATGATTTTCCCTTAATATAATTGGATCACAGTTCTATTCTCGAGATTTTGATTTTCCATCCAATTTTAATTTCTAAAAATAATTCAAGAAATAAATCAGCAAATTAGTAGCTACCCCCACCACAAAAAAATACAAGCTGGAGCTGAGCTGGCAGTACTTATTATGCCAGATGTCATTTTTTTTTTAATTTTATTTAGTGGATTATGACGACGTTAATTCTTCTATATTCTGATGGAACTTGTTTAACAGAGAAAGAACATTATTATTATTATTATTATTATTATTATTATTATTATTATTATTATTATTATTATTATTATTATTATTATTATTATTATTATTATTATTATTATTATTATTATTATTATTATTATTATTATTTTATTTTGTGCTCTGTAATAGGCATCAGATTTTTGCCAGCTCAAATGGTGTATTTGATATAGATATCCACAGCCCACCCGGTTCAACCTAAACGGGCCATACATATTACAAGTCCTATTTCTCTATATGTTCATCATTCAATTTGTGATAAAAATATCCATAGTCAAATTAAATCGAAAATCCTCCAAAATTTGTCTGCCAAACCTTTTCCCATCCAAATTTAACGTAGAGCAAAATCAATACGTTAAAAAAATCATATGTTGCAAGAACTTAGTTTCTCAAAAAACAACGAACACCGTAGCTGCGACTGCCCCACAGCTGTCGCATATGACTCCAGCAGATGCAAAACAACGAACTGAATTTGCAACATTTAATTTTCAAATAACAAATTACCTAGGACTCCGCCACCAAATGCAAACTGAAAATATAATTTGCATCGTCTAATTGCGAACAACAAAATGAAAATACGATATGCATTATCTATGATCAGACCTATTCCCGTCCAATGGGCCTGGTTGAGTCCAAAGGATCATCAAGGTCAATTCCAGCCCAAATGGTCCAATTAAACTTACAATGCCCCGAAAAGCCCACAAAGCAAAGAAGGCCCAAAAAGCTGGCGCCTTGCTAGGCAAGAGACTGAGCGAGTCGCGAGAGCGTAAAGCTCTCTCTCGCGTCGGGCATCTCGCTCGGCTAGTCTGCCAAGTCAGTGCTAACTGCACATGGAAGTATTTAATGCATGTCTAATCTACTGACAAGCACAGATGAATGTCGTCCGTGTCCCCCACTTTTTACAGGCGCGACCACCAATGAAATGACGGATTAAATGGCATTGAAGGTAATTTGAAGTTCGTAATATTTTATTGCAATGATTGGACAAATAAATTGAATTGGAAAAGTATTTGACGTTCGTCCCTTCTAGTATAAATATGAATACTAAGCAAAAAGGGAAAAAAAATACAAAATCTTACACACACCATATATTCAAATACAATATCTTCCTCAAGAAGTTACTGACTTGGCCGTCGGAGTGCTAACTCCGGCCTAAGTCCGGACTTTCTCTTTTTGCAGGCTTATTCACGGGCCCAGGCCCAAGGTCCGGCCTGCCCATCTTTTTGAAATTAACCCACCACGAATCAAGACTGATCAATCTATGTACAAACAATAACATTTAGGGTGGTTTATGTCCTTCGTTTTTAAAAGAATATTAATTATTATTTATCAAGAAATTAGTTAGATGATATTTGTTTGTGTGGGGATCAGCCGGTCCGTAGATTTTTGGAGCCTTAGGCAAACTTTAAAAAATGAGCCTTTTATAATTTAATACTATTTAACTTTTTCTCAATCATTATAAGATGCCAACTTAAACTAACTTTCAATAATCGATCTTTAATTGAAAATCAGTTGCTTTAATTTAAATGTCAGACTTAGTTGATGGACAAATTTTCTTTATATAAGTTCTTGAACTTGTTTAATTTATTAGTGTAATCATGTTAATTGAGTTATATTTCAAAATTCGACAATTATTTTTATTATTTGTCAAAAATTTGGGCCTCCAAATTTATGATTAATACAAAACTCAATCATGGACCGTTCGCAGTGCTAATGAATATAATTTTTGTAGTGTATAAAAAATAGGGGTAATATGCTAAAAGCCCCTCAAATCAAACCTAATTCGAACTAAATGACAACTTTAAATTTATTTTTTTAATTAAATCCCTATTTTCAAATAATATATAAGCCATATCCTTTAATTTTTTTTAATCTCTAGTTTGTCCTTGTACCCTAAATATAATATATATATATATATTTGATGATGCTAATTACTTAGATCACCTGGGGTGGTGTAGAAAATGAACTGGGAGAGCAAAGCAGATCAGTAGCTTGACAACTTGATGATCCTGAGGTACCTGCGATCATAGAACACATGAACTAAGCCGGGGGTTGATCCGGCGGAAACCCCTCCGACGCTCAAGTCAGACGTGCTGATCATAGAAATAGTCCAGATAATACGTATTGTAGTATTGCTCAGTTAATTGGACGTACCTTATGGAATGAGTTCAAATGTGTATTTATAGCTTAGTTGAGATTGTCGGGCCCAAACCTTGCTGAAGGGGATTGGGCCTCGGTGATAGTAGTCTTCGATATTGGGCTCGTGGCCCAGTAGGTAAATAATTTGTAGGCCCATTGGGTTGGGCCAATTAGGCATATCAATATTCATGTTTCTCCAACTTATCAGATTTATTTCTCTTATTTTCTTTTCTCTTTGCTTCTCTCTCGTTCTCTCCATCTCTCAATCTCTATCTACCACATCTCTCTCGCCCCTCAGTAATTGTTGGGCTGGTGACAGCGGCTATGGTCGGTGGGCTATGGTGGCGGAAAACAACAGATCTGCAAATTCCAGTGGTGGATCGAGAGGGTTTGGTGGAGGCGGCAGCGACGGGTGGAGGCGACAACGGTCGGGGAAGGCATAGAGCGGTGGGTGGAGGCGGCGGCCGCCGCCGGTGGAGGTGGTGGCGGCGGGTGGAGTCGGTGGCGGCGGATGAAAGGTGTGGTGGGGGTTGTGCGGGCGGGCTTATGATTATGGTTGAGATATTATGGAAAGTATTTTTTGACTATTCAATTGGATCTAATTTCCTTGTGTTTTGAAAGATTTTGCTTGATTTGAGTTGTTCAAATGCCATATCTAGGTTTTCCCAAAGTTGGTAGGTGACTATGGTCGTGGCGGCTGCGAGCGTGGGTTGTTAGGGTTGGCGGCGGCTGCTAGGGTTTGCGACGGCTAGGAGTTTTTGGTGGCCAGGGTTTGGTAGTAAAGCATAGTACACCGTAGTATACTATACTTAACCGTAGTATACCACAGTACACCACTACACTATAGTATACTACAGTACGTCGTAGTATACCATAGTCTACTACAGAAAAATTGAAAAATATGTAAATTGAAATTAAAAAAAAATAAAAAAATTAGCATGTTTTTTTTTAATTCTCAATATTATGTAGAAAAAAAAATATTAATAAAGAAATTTTTATAATAGTGTATAAAATGCTAAAATGAATAACGAGAAAAAATGAAGACAAACGGATATTCTGAAGAAAAAAAATATTAGATGAAAATATGAAAATATTAAATGCATAATAAATAAAATGATAAATGCAGTTTGGAATTTACTTATTGAATATTTCGAATTTGTGAGTGGAGGGGCATTTTTAGAAATTAATTTTATAAAGGATGTGAAACAAATGTTTAGTTAGACTTGTCATTTAGTTCAAATAAGATTTGTCATCAGGGACCTATATCCTAATACCCCTAAAAAATATGTTTTATATTTAAAATTTTATTATATATATATATATATATGAACTATTTTTATTTTATTTTAAATTTGAGGGCCCTATGGAGATTGGGCCCAAAGCAATAGCTTCCCCGGCCACTTTTCCAAATTCAGTGGATGTGTGCACATTATTAAATAAATACCTGACATTTTTTTAATCAACATTTTCAGAGGATAATGTAAAAACTTGTACCCGCGCATCGCATGCATTAACGTTAAATCATGTCCCTTAAACAGTCATAAATTGAATAAAAAAGTTAAAAAATAAATTAAATAAAAATAAAGTTAATGAAAGGGACTTGTTGGGAAGGAATCTCTCCACCGGGTACCCGCCCCAGAAGAGCGTATCTAAGGCACCCCAAGGGGGCAGCCGCCCCTCCAGTTAGAAAAGAAATTCTATATTTTAATCTATTTGCTCCCCTACACTTCCCCTTCACAATAAATAAAAAAATGCCCACTTATAATGCATAATTTTTAAATTTAAGAAGTCTCAATGCTGATATATACTTATTTTATATGATTACACGTGGTGATAAATACCGAATGGGTCTTCTACTGGTACGTGTCCTTTTTTATTTTTCTAAAACCCCTAAAAATAAAACCTAGCGAAGGAATATATTATAAAATGCAAAAAATGACACGTGGCACCAGAAGTCCCACCCGATATTTATTACCAGGTGTAGGTTCAAAGAAGTCAGTTTACATTAACTAAACCCTATAATTATTTCTAAAAAAAAAAAACCCTATAATTATTTTTGCTTTCTATAAAGTAAATCAACAAAATATAAATTTTTTTGAAGATATAAAAACAAATAGTATTTTTTAAAGGCATTTTAATTAAATAAATTATAAATATAAAATAAACTATATTTTTTACGGGCCCAAAGCGGGGCGGGTACAAAATGGGTTTTATACATGGCGATGGCTTAATAAAATCAAACCCGGAACGAATGCGGATTTTCCAAAACCCACCCCGTACCTGCTCCATGGGACCTACTTCACAGATTGTAGCAACTAATTATTTTTATTGAAGAGACACCACCAATTATCAAACAAGAGGGCCTAGACTTTTTTCCATTGGCTGTTTGGAAAAAAATAAAATCAAATCATTGCAATTTTCTCAAAACATTAATTTATCATTAACTCTATTGTTGATCACGATTTTATGGGACCGCGTAATATATGGTTCCTTCGACCCTACACCCGGTGAAAAATACCGGGTGGATCTTCTGCTGCCACGTGTCTTTTTTTTTTCTAAAACCCCTAAAGGTAAATCCTAGCGGGAAATCTATTATAAAATACAAAAAAGAGACACGTGGCAGCAGAAGACCCACCCGATGTTTTTCACCGGGTGTAGGGTCGAACAAATCGTAATATATGTATGTGCCTTTTCACGAATCAAAAGAACAATGCACAAATCAATTCGCTAAAAAGGTATGTATTTGTTATGTAGTAAAATCAATACACAAGTATGAACCAATTATTCCCTTTGTTCATAAATAATACATAGTTCCTGTTCAGCTTTGCATAGATACTTAGAATTTAAATAAATGTTTCTTGATTTAAAAAATAAGGTTAAAATAACCTTAATCATTTAAAAATATGAAGTAAAAAATTAATATTAAAGTTGAATAAATATGGGTAAAATATGAAAAAAAATGTATTTAATACAATATTGGAATTCTTAAGATATTTATAAAATGTACTAAAGTTGAATCGATATTTATAAAATCAATCCCTTGGTTTTTATTTTTCAAAAAATATATATTTACAAGAATCTGATTAATTTTGCATGGATAAATCGTACCAAGGAAATATTCATTCTAAACTAGACCGATCTCACTGTCCGTTTCATTCGGGGGAATGATAAATCCCGCACTAAAACTTACTGAATCACACACACAAATTAAAAAGTTAAAGTTTATCTCTGTAACATTATAAATTTTATCTCTATCACTTCTTCTCATTAGGGCATTCTCTCAAAGCCACTAAATTAACGTTCATTAAATAATTATTAACATTAATTAAACAACTAATGAAAAGAATTTTTTTTTTTAAAAAAGCCCTAAACCACACCCAACCCCACCCCCACCGCCCCCACCCGCCCCCAACAACCTTCAGTGGTCTGCCATGTTTTTGTGTGTGTTTTTCTTATGTGTAAGATGGTTTTGTGTGTGATTTTGTGGGAAATAAGTGAAAATTAAACGAGAAGTGAATTTTGGATGGAAAAGTTTAGAGAGAGAAACATTTTTAATTGTGAGTGTGATTCGGTAATTTTAGTGCGGGATTTAGAATTTCAGTTTCATATATTATTTACGATAATTAAATACATTTTTAGATTATATCTTCAAGTACTTGAATTATAAAACTAACAATTTCCGGTGCAAAATGACATAAATATTTACATTTATTTATTTTTCAATCCTTTTTAGCAGCAGATTAAATTCTCAAAAATTGCAACCAAGAATACTCTTTGACTGAATTATAAAAGCTCAAATTAAGTTAAATTTGTATCTTTACCATTAAAAAAATACATATTTATACTGCTAGAAAAGTGAAAACTACCACAAAAAATTAGGGTTTATTTATTATCTAATATAATAATTATAAAAAAAATATAAATAATTTACAGCCCAGTAAAAATCTTGCAACTGTGTAATGACTCAGTGTCAATGGCTTTTCTCCAACTGCAGTATATTTTTGCCCTTCAACAAACAAAATTGAAGCTTTCTTTTATGTATACTGCTGTCTTTATTTGATTATAAATAAAAAAATACAAACAGACAACAACAACAACATACAGTAATGTAAGGTCATTAGCTAGGTCATGAGTAAGTATATAGTACTACCAAAATAATCAAAAAAATAATAATAAACCTAACAAATAATAATGCAAAGGACCGGCCAGCTCTTTTTTATTTCTGGGTGTAGTTGAGAATTTCCATAACAGGAAAAAAGGTTAAAAAAAAAAAATTCGGTAATAATCAAAACTGGAAGATTAGGGCAGCAGGCATCAAGTACTCCTGTTCATATCAAGAACTAGGGTTTTCAGACCCGGCCCTCTTCAAAGTAATCCAAAAAAGAAAGAGATTATATATATTAAACAGAAATATAGCAAACCCCAACTCAGAGAAAATGAAAAGCAAACTTCAGAATTTGCAGATAATAGAAAAAGAAGAGGTTTTCACTAGCAGCAATGGCGATTGAGTTTTTTTTTTTTTTTTTTTTTTTTTTTAAATAATTAATTATATTTTGTCGAATAAGACAGGGAGAAAATGGGGCCCGTTTAGAGAAAAAGCACAAGAAAATGAAGTGATAATTTGTCCAATTGCGTAGAGATATAGACAAAAGTACGTGTAGTAGACTACTCTATATACTGTGGTAATAAAATAATAAAAATTAAAAAAAAAATACACACACACAGCTTTTTTCACACACAGTGAAGGGGTTTCTCTCACATCTACAAAAAGCTCACGGCCCTGCTCTCGCATAAAATCAAAAAAGAAGGAAAAAAAAAAACTAATCTTTTAATATAATATGTAATAAAATAATAATTGTTTAGAAAGAAGATCTTTAGGGAGTATGATCATTAAACCCTACTTTTTGTGCATCTATCTATGTATGTATCTATCATGGGATTTGATTATTGATTTGGACTGAAACAGTAAGTCTTTGTAATAAACAGTGTTAACTGTTGGTCTACTTTGTTTGTCTAAAAACAATTTTAGGTTTTTGTGATTGTATTGAAAATTGATGTGCATTTTTTCCTCCATTTATTCTGATGGATATAGAGTAATTAATAAAATAAAATAAAATTAAACATTGGATTTTTATATTTTTTTTAAAATACGTACTGATTTTCTTAATGCCTGTTTGGAAACCTTTAGCGAACCGACTTTGTTGGGTATATAATGAGTATTTGAATTATCAGCCATCTATTTATTGATTTCCTAAATTTTTAGGTTGCAAAAATATTGACTTTAAAATTAAGAGTTTTGACTTTTATATATTATTTTTAACATTACCAAAATAAGAATTACAGCTAGAAAATTTATATTAATGAAAAACTCGGTTGACCGATATTACCCGATCAATCGACTTTTGTGCAAACTGAAAACCATGGCCAGCCGTGTATATAAATATATATATATATATATATATATATATATATGCATGTTAAATTCAGTTCTGGTGTCTGGTGTATCTGTAGAACTAATGTAGATTAAGGGTGAGCAGTGAGCTTAATTAGTTATTTAATTTCTTGATTTCTTCACTAATTAATTATTTAAGTTATTTTCTCCTGAAACCTAATTTATGAATTCATTATATCTTCGTCCTCCATTTTTGCCCTACATTACCCTACACCATCTCACCTCCAGACTTTTTTCTAGGTAAAGTCATTTTCCATGTGATAAATAAATATAATTAATTAATTAATTAAAATAAATACAGAAAAAGACAACTTCTGTATGCCTTCATTAAATATTATCCCCTTCGAGTTATTAACCTTTCGAACATCCCTTTTTCTCACTGGATCACACTCCACCTCGGCCCCCGCCCCCGCCCCCGCCCTGAACCACCACCTTCTTTTTTTTTTTTTTTTTTTTTAATAATTTATTGCCGAAACCTAAATTCTTTGATTCCTTCAAGTTCTTAAATAAGGGTTTGTAAATATTTTTTTCCGATCAGTCTCCAAAACTCCACAAAAATAAAATAAAATAAAAAAGATTTTTTTTAAACAAGAAAAAAATGTTCAGCAAGAACAGTTACCTCCATCCTCAGGCAACTTCATCGTCTTCCTCTTCATACCCACGTGGCAGTTATGACCTAAACAGCGTTGAATTCCTGCTGCACCACCACCCCGAGCTGTTTTCCGGCCACTACTTGACCACCGCCGGCGCCAACTCCCCACTCATTCATTCCGCCGCCCTGATGCTAAACCAAGACACCGCCTCCATGTTCCCGAACGGAGACCCTTCTTCCGCCGCCGCCGCAAGCACGCTGCAAAGAAAGCAGACAGTGAAGAAGGACCGGCACAGCAAGATATTCACAGCTCAAGGGCCGAGGGATCGGAGAGTGAGGCTCTCAATCGGCATTGCTAGAAAGTTCTTCGACCTCCAAGAAATGCTAGGGTTCGACAAACCGAGCAAAACCCTCGATTGGCTCCTCACGAAGTCCAAGGCCGCCATTAAAGACCTCGTGCAGATGAAACACAACGCCGCCGCCAGCTGCTCGAAGAGCACTTCTTCTCCCAGCTCGGATTGCGAATTGGTGATCTCTTCCGAATCGAATGCGGCCGCAGACCCTTTCGAAATCGGGGCTGCCGATACGAAGAGGAAATGCGTTAAGGAATCGAGGGCGAAGGCCAGAGCTAGGGCTAGAGAAAGAACTCGAGAGAAAATGACCTTCAAGAACAATAATTTGTGTTGTTCTGATTTCAACCCTTTGGTGCCAATTCATTATAGAAACAATAATAACAATAATAATAATCAAGTTGGATATTTCCAGTCAACTCATGGTGGTGCAGGTGGTCAAGACCTAGTTCAAGAATCTAGTGTGGTCAAAAGGAAGATGAAGAACCCTTCATTTTTCGGGGCGTTTCAGCAGAATGTTTTCGTTTCTAGAGATTCGAGCTCGAATTACGGCGGCCCGTCTGCTAATAATAACAACGCCCCTGAAAATTGGGATTTTTTCGCCTCACAGTCGAACCTTTGTGCTATTTTGGACCAGCACAAGTTCATCAATAGGTAAAAAAAACCATGTAAAAATTAAGTCTTTTCTAATTATAATGCATATAAATATATATATGTGTGTGTGTGTGTGCATGATTTCTTGATTTCTTGTTTGTATATTTGTCTGCAGCAGTTCAAACATGTAGGAAAAGCTTTTTCGAGTACTGCAAAGGATTGATGATTTGTTGGTGTTTGATGTATGGATTGGATGTAAGTTCTTGCTTTACCTTGTTCTAGATCAAGAGATATATGAAATTCTTCAGAGGATGTAATATATTTTCGTATTAATTAATTTTTAATTTTCCAATATAATCAATGTTGAACGTTTCATGCGATCGAGTTATGTATATCTATATATCTCTCTCTGTAGTATTTCATCTGTGTGATTGTCTGTGCCTATGTGTATGTGTGTATGTATCTCAATTTGATCTTTTTCATCGTTGCTTCTGCTCAACAATTTACGTTTATATATTCGACCGACGGACATTGCCAAAATACTCTAGTCGAAACTCGAAATACTCTTAATATCGACAATTTTGAATTTTTCAAGTTATCTTTAATTTGTCAATATATGTAATGCTGAATTTGATGCATGTTTTTGAAGATTTGAAAGGAGATTAATTATTGACCAAAATGTAACATCAAGAAAAAAAAATAAAAAAAAATGAAGTGTTTTACTTAAAAGGCTAATATATTAAAAAACATCAGAGTTCAAATCCAACTTAATATATATATGCTCCCCAGTTCATAAAGTAACTGCATGCTGATATATATATATATAATATCAAAGTCTTGTCAAATTAATTAGGGTTGTGAAATAATTTAATGAAAGTACTGTCAATCTCTCTCTCAGGACATTGTTTGCCAGTTAATTAAGATCCAAGGTGGTTATAATCCAGGTCAAAAACTGGTCTTTTTTGTAAGAGAATTAATTGATCGAATAATTAAATGATTTTTTTTTTCTTTTGTAGGGAAATTCATTGATTTTTTTAATATTTTTTTTTTGGTCTTGATTTAAATTTTTAGGTCTTTGAGTGAAACTTTTGTTCTGATAGCTCATAACTGATGGGTAAATAATCATGATGTTTTATTCATATAAAAATAGGGTTTTTTGAATTAATGTAATTATTATTATTATTTTATTTTGTTAGCTTAATTACCTGTGCACATCCATAGATTAATTACTAATTAATCTGCAACTAGCTATCTGATTGATCATCTTTAAGGGCTGAGAAAATACGTTTATTTCGACTCTGTAACGAAGAAAGATAGTGTATATATATACATGTTTACAATATCTAAGTTCTGTTTTTAGGTTTAGTACTGCTTATTCGAATTCATGATTTTATTCAGAAACAAATTGTGTAGTGAAATATGTTGTGTCCAAATTAAAGCAGGATATCTACCTGAATCTTCGACTTCTTTGTCTTCTTCGACACTAGTTTTACGATATATGTTTGTTGTTTTGTGACCATTTTACGATCGTCTCAAGTATCAGCTGTTAATATACAGCCATACAGGTCTCTACTTAATCACTTTTCATTTTCCTTTCGATTATATTATTTGATTTATCAGAAAGTATTTACAGTTGTTGTTATAACATCCATCAGTATATATTACCAATATGACATTGCAGTAAATTTAAGAGTTCAAATTAAATGATGAAAAATGTTTCAACTTTCTAATCTTTTAATGTATATCCAATCATATGGTTTTTGTATTCTTATTAATTAATACCATGAATTTGAAACTAATTAATAAGCATTTTATTTCGAATAAAATTCTTCAATCAAAATGCATTATTTCAGTACTTTCGATGTATTTTGTAATATATATATACATTGATCAATTACAATAAATAATTTAAGTTTGCTAGCATTAAATTAGGGATAAGAAAACATACAACTTGGTATATTTATGAGAAAAGAACCAAAATTTTGGTAACACTGGTCTGTAGTTATTTGTTTTGATCTTGAAACAAAACATATCATGTGAGTAACAGCAAATAAACTGAGGTTCATGTTTTGGAATTTACTGCAAAAAACGAAGTGGGGGTGTTCGAATATAAGATCGATATCGTTGGAAGCATTGATGTTTTCGTGATAAAACCAACCTGCCAATTAATCCTCTTGTCTCACTAAAATTGGTTTCATTGTTTTTTTTTTAATTTATTTATTATCTTAATTATTTAATATAAGAAAAGATTTTTTTTAAATCAATTCTTGAAATTACCTGGATTTGATTTGACCAAAATGCCCCTCCATTTGGTGCAGATGTTCTGTGTTAATACCACTTGTTTACCCTTGTGTTTGTTAGCCAAATGAAGGCCATTTACTATCCTTGAGGTTAAAAAAGGAAAAAAATAGTAATGAAAAAGACTTGCTCGAAAAAAAAATTTAAAAAAAAAATAAATGAAAAATAAAATGGAAGAATGAGCTTTGCATGTGAAATATATCAGACTAAGTTCAATTTATATAATTAACTCTCCCAATTAAATGCCAC